CTGGCAAATTCTGCTCTCATCACATAGATTTTATTCACCACTACTGGTGCAGGGATCAAACCGGTCAGTCCTAGAGGAGATCAACCCTGACTGCTCTTTAGAAGGCCAGATCCTGAAGATGAAACTCAAATACTTTGTCCACCTAATGAGGAGGAAGGACTCACTGGAGAAGAGCCTAATGCTGGGAACGATTGAGGGCAAAAGAAGAAGGGGACGGCAGAGAATGAGGTGGCTGGATGGAAGTCACTGAAGCAGTCGGCGTGAGCTTAAATGACTCCAGAGGATGGTAGAGGACAGGAAGGCCTGGAGGAACGTTGTCCATGGGGTCGCGATGGGTTGGACACAACTTTGCAACTAACAACAACAACTGGTGCAGTGATGCCATCCCTTATGTTCTCAAGGGTGGACTGAGTCACTGAGGAAGGCAGAACATTCCCCCCCCCCAAAAATCTAGTCAATGAAAGGGACAAATACTCGGCTAGATCTGAGACTAGTTTAAAGGTGTGTTGACAATGATCAGGTGGCATTTTTGCAATAAGTGTGCTCTTTAGTGAAAATTGTGACTCTCCAATGTCTATGGAGATTCTCCGTCATCCAGGTCATGGCTGTCCCAAAGGTGCTTTTTCAAGAGGCACCTGGACTTCCTGGTTTTTATTTGAAGACATTTGGCTTCTCATCGAAGAAGCTTCTTCAGAATTGGGACAGTGAAAAGCTCTTGCTACCCCACAGACTTGGCAGAGTTTCCGCTGAATTCTACGGTGGTAGGAAAAACTTAATCTGATTATTCGGTGAGTTGATTAAGCATCATTTAATCAGCCCTCTGTTAATCAGAAGAGCCCAGCTTGTCTGCCGGAGGATGATGGAGCTGCTTTGACCCAGCAAACCCCTTCTTAGTCTAGAAAACCGGGGCTTAAAAGAGAGGCATGATCTTTTAATTCTCATGCGCACGGAGCCAAGCAAATCAGCAGCAATGTTTCCAAAACCTTGCAATCCATTGAAGAGGGAAGAAAAGTGCTCCCGAAAATATTTGCTCGTTAGCTGTGGTGACCAAGCAATGGATGGATTTTTAATAAGGCACACAGGCAAAATTTGCTAAGGAAGGGGAAAAAAAATGATTGATTCCCCCTCTCCCTGACTTGGTGGTGTCTAACTGCTGTAGACTGACCATTTGCCAAAAACTCTCTCATTGGCCTGAAGCGAGGCATGGAAACTTTTACAAAAATATAGAATCTGTTCCTGCGACCACAGGAAAGCTGTGGTGTGGGAAGAACTGTATTTACTCATCTCAAGGGATAGCCCCAGTCCCATAGGCTTATGTGTGTTTGTTTCTCTTACCCTGTCAGAGTAGAATTCCAGGTTTAGTTTGGGGGCTAAAGAATAAATGATGCCTATTCGAAGCTATCCTTCCATTGCTTAACTTCTCGAGTTTCTTTTTTCTTTTGAAAAGTTTTTTCAGGTTTTTTTTTATACACATAATATAAAATGTACATTTTCTTATACATAATTAATCATATATGTATATATTTTCCTTAAAGAAAGCATTAAAATAAGACATTTTAATTACATTCAGAGTTGCTGTTCTATCTTTTCTTCTCTCTTTTCACAACAAGGCTTCTTCTTCTCCTTTCTTTTCCTTCCCAACCTCCTCTCCTCTGCTACTTTCTCCTTCCTCCTCTCCTCCCTCCTTACTTCCCCTTCCTTTCCCCCACTCCTCTCTTCTTTCCCCCTTTCTGACCTTCTCTCTTACTTCTGTCCCCTGTCCTTCCTTCCTCTCCTTTTCCCTTTCTTCCTTTCCTCTCACTCCCTCTCCTCTTCCTCCCCTCTCCTCCCCTCTCCTTTCTATTTTCTTTGCTATATAATATTCTTCTTGTTTGGTATTCGAGCACTTCCTATATTCTAATCATATATACTTTCTTTCAATTTCTTTTCAAATTTATTCTATCTATCAATATTATCATCTGTTCTGTTTTAATGGTTGTGAGCCGCCCTGAGTCCTGTGGAGATAGGGCGGCATACAAGTCCCAACAAATCAATCAATCAATCAATCAATCAATCATCATAATTGTACATTATTCTTATACTCTTCTTTCTTCCCCCCCCCCTTTTCAATTTTCTCTGGTGTCATCTAGATTTCTATTTCTTTTTTGATCTCTCCGTCATTTACTTTTCTATTATCTCCCTCATTTATCTATCATTTTTAATTCATATTTCTTTTCTAACCACTCATAAAATCTTCCCCATGTCCTGAAATACATCGATTCCTCTCTATCTTTTATTCTTAATCTATTCATTTCCGCACATTCTAACTTCTTGAGTTTCTTTGATTGCCTCTTTTGGAGCAGAAATCCATCCAAGGTATTCTCCAGGTAGTGTGTGATCTTTGCAGGCCAGGCAGAGTTGGGTCATCTAGCAATACTAACTGGACGCCTGTTCTTCGCTACGAAACTATGTGATTGGGCATGATAAATTGACACTTAAAGCCTGAAACTTAATGTAGAATGTGTAACTCCGTAGCATCAGGGACATGTTAATATAAGGCAACTGGCAGTTGGGACAGAGTTCTTTTCAGGTGGGGAGGGGGATTGGAATGTCTAACTCCTTAGCATCAGAGCGTGTTAATATAACGCAACTGGCAGTTAGGAAAAAGTTCCTTTCAGGTGGGGAGGGGGAGTAGAATGTCTAACTCCTTAGCATCAGAGCATGTTAATATAAGGCAACTGACAGTTGGGACAGAGTTCCTTTCAGGTGGGGAGGGGGAGTAGAACGTTTAACTCCTTAGCATCAGAGCGTGTGAATATAATACTGCATATGAAATGATAATGATCTGATATTCATTTTGAAAAATCCTTTCTTAGCGAGCACCTAGAAGCCAAAAGGAACATATGTGCCAAATTTCAAGTTTGTAGGCTTTACTGTTCTGGAGATTTCGTGATGAGTGAGTGGTATTTGGCTTTTATATAGATACCCCCTGCCCCATTATAAAGTCAGACAACTGATTCATTTCCATTAATCTTGACCCATCCTCTTATCCAGCAGGGAGAAACTACCATATGGTCACTTTATTTATATATGCCTGGATTTGCACATCCTGCTGAGCTGGGATTTGTTTAAACCATGCTTTGTTAAAATGACATCGCAATAAGTTTTCACCAGGCCCCAAACAACCAAAAAAAAAAAAAGCACTGCTGTTCCATTATCAATAATGTTATTTTAAGAGGCTTGGGGGATGGGGGTGGGTAGGTGAAGTTGCAGAAATGAGATGAAGGATCACACGTGATCCACTTTCTCCATCCTTGGGTCTCTACATTTGCAGCCTTAACAGAATAACAGAGTTGAAAGGATTTTGCAGAAAGGGTTCAGGTACATTTCAGTTTCCCGCTACAATGTTCTACTCATCCTGTAACTGATTCAATGGCCATATTAAAATAACTGTCCATTCAATAGACCGTATGTGTGATTTGATCCTAGGATCAGCTACAGAGGACAGAGCCTTGGTGGAGCAGCGGACTAAAGTGCTGTTAAAGTAGCACTTAGCTGCCAGCTGCCTGCAATTACTGCGAGTTCAAATCTCACCAGGCTCAAGGTTGATTCAGCCTTCTATCCTTCCGAGGTAAGGTAAAATGAGGACCCGGATTGTGGGGGCAATAAGCTGACTTTTTATAAAAAAGAACACCGCTTGCGGGGGCCGAAAGCCCTACTAAGCAGGTATATACAAAAGTATGAAGGCTATTGCTTAACGCATTGTAAGCCACCCTGAGTCTCCGGAGAAGGGCGGCATATAAATCGAACCAATAAATAAATAAATAACAGAGTTGGAAGGGACCTTGGAGGCAGTGGTGAAACCAGTGGTACTACCAGTTCGCTGGCTGTGCATACATGCTGCGTGCCAAGCGCGCACTTGCAGGCATGCATGCACAGTACGCACCAAAAGGAGACTTGGGAAGGTAAGTAGAACAGCTGGAGGGGGAAATCAGCTGTGGCGCGAGCTTGGGAACCTTTTAAAAAACTTTTTTAAAGCAATTTTTACTACCGGTTCCAGAGAACCGGTAGTTAAAAATGCTTTAAAAAGTTAAAAAAAAAAAAAAAGGTTCCGACGATCACACGTCACTCAGCTGATCTTCGGAACTTTTTCTAAAAACTTTTTTTACTACTGGTTCGATGGACCAGTAGCATTTTTTTACTACCGGTTTGGGCGAACCAGCCTAAACTAGTAGCATTTCACCCCTCTTGGAGGTCTTCTAGTACAACCCTCTGCTCAAACAGGAGGCCCTATACCAAACCAGAGAAATGGCTATCCAGTCTCTTCTTGAAAACCTCCAGTGATGGAGCACCCATGATTTCTGAAGGCAAGTCATTCCACTGGTTACCGTATTTTTTGGAGTATAAGACGCACCTTAGTTTTTGGGGAGGAAAATAAGAAAAAAGCTGATTGGCAGGTGGATGGGCCTCCCAATACCCCCAATCAGCTGTTCTCAGAGGTGAATTTTAGCAACAGGTTCCTTGGTTCTGAGCTCTGTGCCTTGCTTTTTTTGGCTTTTTTTTTTCCTGCCTCTGAAACTTCTGAAACTCCGTTTCAGAAAAAACTTTCTTTCCTGCCTCTGAAAGCCTCTGAAACAGAGCTTCAGAAAAAAGCCTCTGAAGCTCTGTTTGGGAGGCTTTTTTTCTGAAGCTCTGTTTGGAGGCTTCTTTTCTGAAGCTTCTTTTCTGATGCTTTTTTCAGCCTTGGAAACCTCTGTTTGAGAAGCTGGGCAAGTTTACATTCAGAGTATAAGACGCACCCAGATTTTCGCCCTCTTTTTTATGGGAAAAAGGTGTGTCTTATACTCCGAAAAATACGGTAATTGTCCACACTGTTAGGAAGTTTCTCAGCCTTAAAGATGGTGCCTCTCTAATATAACAGGAACAGCACCAGAATTGATCTGAATGTGTTATTGCGGATTAGACATTGGACTGCTGTAGTCATCCATCTCCCTCCGCAGTTGAGGTTTGTCAGTACTCACCTTCATGCCAGGTAGAGACTACCAAGGTGGGCCAGAGAAGCAGGAAGACGAGCAATGCCTCTTGAAACATCTCTGCATTCAAGAGGAAGGTTGAAGCCAGCAGAGAAATACCAGCATGCCTTTGTGGTTGGTAATTCAATCTAAAACCGAGGTGGAAAAAAGGCTTGAGGTTAGTACAAGAGAGAGGCAAGGAGAATGGCTGTGTAAAAGATGTAAATTCCGTCTGCACATTTACTCATGTAGCAGAGGCTATGTTTCTTGTGGGAGGAGGGGAGGAGACGTGCTAGAATATAGAATGACAGAGTTGGAAAATATCACATAATTCTCTAACCAGCATCACCAGATCAGGGAGATTTACAGAATATAGAATAACAGAGTTGGAAGGGACCTTGGAGGTCTTCTAGTCCAACCCCCTGCTTAGGCAGGAAACCCTACACCACTTCAGACAAATGGTTATCCAACATCTTCTTAAAAACTTCCAGTGTTGGAGCATTTGCAACTTCTGGAGGCAAGTTGTTCCACTGATTAATTGTTCTCACTGTCAGGAAATTTCTCCTTAGTTCTAAGTTGATTAGTTTCCACCCATTGCTTCTTGTCCTGCCCTCAGGTGCTTTGGAGAATAGCTTGACTCTCTCTTCTTTGTGGCAGCCCCTGAGATATTGGAAGACTGCTATCATGTCATCCCTAGTCCTTCTTTTCATTAAACTAGACCAGGGGTCAGCAACCTGCAGCTCTGGAGCCACAGGTGGCTCTTTCACCCCTCTGCTGCGGCTCCCTGGCATTCAAAATATGTGTCACAACTGCCAATGTGTGACACCTTCCGGCACGCGATTTACTGAGCTTTTCAACCCCCAGTAGGCCAACCATGGATAAATCCAAGAAAAGAAAAGTTTCAGAAGAAAACAGAACGTTTAATATATGCTAGTTTTATGGCTGCTCAAGAAATAGTCGGGCACGGGAAGGTTTTTGTGGCTCCCGGTGTTTTCTTTTCTGTGGGAAATGGGTCCAAATGGCTCTTTGAGTGTTTATCGTTGCAGATCCCTGAACTAGACATACCCAAATTCCAGCAACTGTTCTTTATATGTTTTAGCCTCCAGTCCTTGCAAAACGAAGAATCTTTCCCCGAAGTTTTTAGTATTTTATCTTTTCAAGTTCTGAATTTCAGGACTTGGCTCGGTGGGTATTGAAAAGAAATCCCAACAAGTTTTGCGGGAGAGACTCCAGATAAGTGGAAGATTATAGCTAGTGTCAAGCTGATCTCCTCCCGAGAAAGTAGGAAACCCACTGAGGACCTAAGAGTGATCCACCCAAAGGATAGACCACTACTGCAAGTTAAAGCACATGCTTACTCCATGCTTAAGGAGACAGCACGCAAGCAATTGCATTAAATAAATACCTGCATGTCAAGAGGAAGGTGTGATGTTTCCCCACCTTAGGCTAAGGCAGTTTGAAAGGGCTTCTCCTATGCAAGGAAAATTAAATGGCAGAAGCTCAAAAGAAAGAAAAAAAAAAGCTAAATACAATAGGTCACGATTCACTTTATTATCCAAAGAGAGAATGCTCCATAAAAATATTAAATCCACTTTTTCAGTTAGGTAGATCCAACTTTGCCTAAATTCTGGGATCGTTGGTGAGGACCAGGGCAGAGAACACAATTCTAAGCATACTTGTTTTCCAACAAAGCATTTGATCTGCTTTAGTAGACATAACTGATTTTTGCTTCCATTGTTTTTTTTAAAGTTGCTCCTTCTTATTGCCTTACTGTGAGTAACAGAGTATTTTACTGTTCACCGCAAAGCTCATATTAAGCTGCATTGCGAAACTCTCTCTTGGAAGGAACATCCTTTTGTTCCATTACATAAATAAATCAGTCTGTCTGGACACAAAAGCCCTTTAATGGATTGTATCGGACATTTAGAGAATCTAAGATGGGGAAAGGAGAAACAAAGACTCCAGCACTGTCTAATCCAAGGTGATAAACCCATTCAGCATCACTACACATCCGCATGTCCTAAATGGGTAACACCCACCAAACTCACACTAATAATATCACATAATTCTCTAACCAGCATCACCAGATCAGGGAGCCTTACAGAACATAGAATAACAGAGTTGGAAGGGATCTTGGAGGACTTCTTCTTCCAACCCTCTGTTCAAGCTGGAGACCCTACATCATATATATATATGTTCAATTTTTCTCATAGCATTTATTCTCTTTAATTTTAAGAAACCAATATTACCCTTCATCTTAACTTCTCATCCTATTGTAGCTCAATTTTTCTTTTCCCTCCTTAAAATTTGAATCCTTAAATTTAGATTCATATAACATAGTACAATCCCCAATTATTTCCTTAAATTCTCTTCTTCTAATCACCAATGATTCTTTTATCAACTATTCCCAATAATACAATTCAACATATTAGTAGAAACCAATTAACTATATTATCTTAACCCAAATGTTCCGACTATCCAATAGCTTCTGATTTTAACCGTACCACCCCTTCTGAAAAAAACGTCTGAATGACTGACGGGTTTCTTAAACAAAACTTAAACTTCAGAAGTTTTTACAGAAGGAAAAAAGTGTTTTTTTGTCGTTGTTCCCCTTACCCGTCTCCTGCAGCTGGATGTGCAGCGATCTTCCTCGGTTCCTTTCTCTCACGCCATCCAGGAAATCAGTCTTAACTCACTGCAAACTCGCTGCAAAAGCAGCAGCAGCCTGTTCTTTGACAGGTCAGGGGCTGGGCTAATGCTGCCCAGATGTGGGGGCAGCTGAGGCTGCCCAGAGTCTGCTTTAAGGAGGGGGGAAAAGAGAGAAGTGGCGTCTGAAAGACACACTTTCCTAAGAGGCTTACTCAGCTCAAAAAGCTCCAGGGTTGCAAAGGCAACAGGCAAAGGGCCGGTTGGGAGTCTTTCCAGATGCACAGCCCGGAAGATGTCTTGACGTGCCAAGGGATGGTTGCGAGATCAAAGCGGCCAGCCGAGGCAGGCGTGTTTCTTCTCTGAACTTTTAACTGCAATGCTCGTTTCGGTGCCAGCCTGGTTTCTCCAAGGGCAACGGTGTGGGAAGGCTTGACACTCAGCCTGGTTTGGGAAAAACTCTAGCGTAGAACGGGGTGGCTTTCAGATGGTACCGGTGCTTTGACATTGGAGGTTTTTTTAACAGATTAACAGAGTTGGAAGGGACCTTGTAGGTCATCTAGCCCAACCCCCCGCCCCCAAGCAGGAGACTCTACACCCTTTCTGACAGATGGCAGTCCAGTCTCTTCTTGAAAGTCTCAAGTGATGAAGCTCCCACAACTTCCGAAGGCAAAGCTGTTCCATTGGTTGATTGTTCTCACTGTTAAAAAATTTATCCTTATTTCCTTGTTCTCTCCTTGTTCAGCTTCCATCCATTATTCCTTGTCTGGCCTTTGGGTGCTCTGGAAAACAGGTTGACCCCCTCCTCTCTGTGGCAGCCCTTCAAATATTGGAGCATTGCTATCCTGTCTCCCCTGGTTTTTTCCTTCTCTTCTCTTCTCTTCTCTTCTCTTCTCTTCTCTTCTCTTCTCTTCTCTTCCTTTCCTTTCCTCTTCTCTTCTCTTCCTTTCCTCTTCTCTTCTCTTCTCTTCTCTTCTCTTCTCTTCTCTTCCTTTCCTTTCCTTTCCTCTTCTCTCTTCTCTTCTCTTCCTTTCCTCTTCTCTTTCCTCTTCATTTCTCCTCTCCTCTCCTCTCCTCTCTCCTCTCTTCCTTTCCTTTCCTCTTCTCTTTTCACTTCACTTCACTTCACTTCACTTCACTTCACTTCACTTCAATAGACTAGCCATACCCTATTCCTGTAACCATTCTTCATATGTTTTAGCCTCTAGTCCCTTAATCATATTGGTTGCTCTTCTCTGCACTCTTTCTAGAGTCTCAACATCTTTTTTATAGTGTGGTGACCAAAACTGGATGCAATATTCTAGGTGTGTCTTACTTACTTTATAGACTGGTATTAGTACCTCACTTGATCTTGATTGTATCCCTCTGTTAGATGCAATTTAGGATTGCATTGGGTTTTTTGGCTGCTGCCGCACACTGTTGTCTCATATTTAATTGGTTGTCCACTAAGACGCCAAGATCTCTCTCACAATTACTACTATTAAGTCTATTTTCACCCAGTCTATAAGTTTTTTTTAAAAAGACACTGGACAACCATTTGTCCAGAATGGTCTGGGCAGTTGGTTGGACTAGAAGACCTCTTAAGGTCCCTTCCAACTCTGTTATTCTGCAATGAAGCCATTGCCTCCAACTCTAAGAAGGCTGAGGGAAGGGAGGAAGCCCGAGCGGAAATCTTTATTTATTTGCTCGCTCGCTTGTTTATTTAAAAGTATTGGCTGCCCAACTTATTCTGGAACACGTCCAAAACCACAAGAAAAAACAACAACCGGAAAACCAGCTAAAAACAATAAACAAACAAGTAGCTCAGACTAACAGTAAAATGATCTAGTCAAGAATAAAATAAATAAGATGGGCCAGGAGATGAATAATTGCAAAAAATGCTGGGAAATCAGGTCGGCCCAGACACCCTTTTAACATTTTAAAGGAAGAACTGGATTTTTCCAAGCAGGCAGACATTCAACAGGAATAGCCCGAATTCAGCCGAGGAAGATGCTGGATTTCGCCTTTCACCTGAGATGGATTTTTGCAGCTGTCCCAAAGGTGCTTTTTCAGGGGGCCACTGGACTTTCTGGTTTGTTTGTTTTTTTCTTTTCTTTTGAAGATGTTTTGCTTCTCATCCCAGAAGCTTCTTCGGGATAGTGGCGAACAGAAGTCAGAGCTGAAGAAGCTTCTGGGATGAGAAGCAAAACATCTTCAACAGGAAAAAAAAAACCCAAGAATGTCCAGTTTATTTTATTTATTTATCAAATATGTATAACAGATATAAGTATAAACATGATTATGAATATATGAAATGGATATGAATAATGGGGACAGTAGGACAGTAGGACAGGGACGGTAGGCACGCTGGTGCGTTTATGCACGCCCCTTACAGACCTCTTAGGAATGGGGTGAGGTCAACAGTCTAAGGTTAAAGTTATGGGGGTTTGGGGATGAAACCAGAGAATCAGATAGTGATTTTATTCCATATTTCATAATATTCCGAATCCTCTCTCTCTTTCAACTCCATTGTCATTTTATCCATCCCTGCGCATTCTAGAATTTTCCTAATTACAGTTTCGTCTGACGGTACTTTTTTTTTTTTGTTTCCAATTTTTTGCGAACCATGATTCTTGCCGCGGTAAGTATGTGCAATATAATGTATTGAAGGTTTTTGTTCATTTTCGGGTCGTCCAGTATTCCTAATTAAAAACAATTCAGGTTTCAAATCTTTTTTTTTTTTGCTTTGTAATTTCTTCCAACCATTTTTGAATTGGACACCCACACTTCCTCGTGATGAGGCACCTCCACCACATGTGGTAGAATGTTCCGGATTTATAGTTACACCTCCAACCAGTTAGGTGATAAATCGGGATACATCTTGGCCAATTTTTTTTTCAGTTGATTTTTTTCCCTCAGTTACCTCCTGAATAATAATAATAATAATAAAAAGAGCACCTTTGGGACAATCATGAGCTGGAATGACTGAGAATCTCTACAGAATTTTTGCAGCTCTTGATGCAAAGTTAACCCAATGGGGGGGGGGACCCCAAATCTTGTCTCCCTGAGGGGAAAGGTGTCCCCTGAGCCCACTTTGTTCTTTTAAAAGCCCCAAAAACTCTTTTAAATCCCTCTCTGTTGGTGACTGGCGCCACCTCACGGCGCAAACAAAGCTTTTCTTTGGAAAAATTCGCTGCTAAACCTAAATCACGTTGGGGGAAAGGAAAAAAAAAAAAAGGCGAGACGTCGGAAAAAGCCGAAGGAGGCTCCCGGAAAGGTTCGGGTGGTTCCGATTGGGTTCGGGATCTTCCGGAAAAGCGCCCGGCCACGCTCGGCGTCGGCTACCCTTCAGAGGTCCCTCTTTCGGCGAATTCCGAACAGGCTCAGCAGGTCCGCCGGGATTTGCGATTGGCTGGGAGAAGACGCCCTCTCTTGTCTGCTTCGGCGTTTTCCGGAAAGGCTCGGCTCGTTCCGTCTTGGTCGGCGGCGGCTGGAACAGTCGGGAGTCTGGCTTCTTGGTTTGGAGGAGCGGCGGGGTTCGGGGTTCGGGCAATGGCATCCCCATCGCGGAGGCTGCAGACCAAGCCGGTTATCACCTGCCTGAAGAGCGTCCTCCTCATCTACACCTTCATCTTCTGGGTGAGGAAGGGGTCTCTAAGGAACAATGGGAGGTGGGCGGAGAAGGGGGTCCCCTCCCCTAATAGGAGCAGGGCAAAAAGGGGGGGCGCCTTTGTCTTTCTCTCCTGACCACCCCCCAAATGTTTCCTTTTGCAAAAAGGGAGGGGGCGCCTTTTGCAAAGAGAAGTGTGTGTGTGTGGTGGTGGTGGTGTGTGGACTACATACCCCATCATGTGTAGGTAGCACAGCTCATGATGGGGCTTTTTGGTCCCACCTGCCTGGAGGCAGCTCCGGCCATTGGCTTAGCCTTAGCACCTTGTGGAAATATATATAAAAAAAGGATGCACAGCAGTTCTTCTACCCCAGCAGTTGCTCAAACTTGGAAACTTGGGAGATGCAGGGACTTCAAGTCCCAGAATCCCTCAGCCAGCGTTTAGCTCATTTGCTTAGGGCAAGGGTGGACAGCTTGGCTGTCTCAGGAATTCTGGGAGTTGAAGTCCACAGGTTGTAAAAGAGCCACAATTGCCCACCCCTGGCTTAGGGCATTGCATGTGATGGGAGCATGCAGCAAACGAGTTTTGCCTTGCATGCATTTTGCAAACTTAACTCTGTGTCTAATATTTAGATGCGGAGGCTTCTTCCTTCCTTCCCCATTGCCCTGTACTTTGCATTTTCCCTTGCAATTAACGCTTGCAAGCTTGTGGCGTTCAACCTTAAGGGCTTGGAAGTTGTGGGAAGGGAACCCAATGTTTGTTGTGGTCGCCCCCGGGAGTCAGGGCTTAAACCAGGGATCTCCAACTTTAGCAACTTTTAAGACTTGTGGACTTCAACTCTCAGAATTCTGGGAATTGAAATCCACCAGTCTTAAAATTGCAAAGGTTGGGGAGACCCCTGGCTTAAACGAGGAGTGTGTGAACACTCAAGAGAAGTTGTAATTTCAGACCTTCCTTTATCCTGCGAATTTTGGAGTTGGAGAATTCTTTCTGACCAGAAAAATAATAATAATAATAGAGGAAAGGTTATTGATCTTGTGTAGAAGGTGGTGGTTTTTTAAGTTCTCTATCTAAGTGAGATAATCTGGGAGTAATCAGGGTTCCAAGTTCAGCCTCTTATTATTTTTTTTCCCCTCTGCCCTCTTGCCTGATCCAAAGTTGTTGGAACCTTGAAAGTTGAGGAAAGTTTTGTAAACTGAACCCAAGGAGAGACTCATAGGAATCCTTTTTTCCAGGAAAAAAAACATTTTTTTAATTTTAATTTTATTTGTCAGGCATATATAAGAGAACAAGTAAAAGTATAAACATAATTTGAATACATGAAAAGAGTAAGAGTAAAAAGAAATATTAGGACAGGGACTGTCTTGTACAGGGGTCAGCAACCTGCAGCTCCGGAGCCACATGCGGCTCTTTGGGTCCTCTGCTGTGGCTGCCTGTCAGGTGATCCCACCACTGGCTGGCCCCGCCCCTCACCTTCCCCTCCCAGTCACTCCTCGCCTGGCCTGAGAAGATAAGGGCAACGGCGTGGGATGGAGAAGCGGCCAGGGCAAAGACTGAGATACAGAGAGAGGGGGACAGAGAGAGACATAGTGAGATACAGAAGGAGAGGGAGAGAGAGCGGGGAGGGAGGGAGGGGAGAGAGAGATATGTCAAAAGGGTTTTGTAGTTCCCGGTGTTTTTTAACAATTGGTTCTCTGCCCTAATGACCAGCTGGGTAGGCATGGCTGGGGGGGTTGTCATGTGACTGGTGGAAATGAGTGACATCGAGTTGGCCATGCCCACCCAGGTTTTATGACTCCCGGTGTTTTCTTTTCTGTGGGAAATGGGTCCAAATGGCTCTTTGAATGCTTAAGGTTGCAGACCCCTGGTCTTGTAGATGGGCCTCTAAAGACATTCAGGGAAGAGAAGGGAAATTCACGCTGTCCCACTTCTCAAAGGAATGCCTGTATCTTCTTTCTTTTCCCACCTCTTCTTAGATCAGCAATAAAGATACACCGCCTGATGAAACAGACATCCCCAAAACAGAGCAGAGCATCCTGCTGTCTGTCAACACCCACCCACGTCCAAATAGGACACATTGAAATAATATTTCAGAGGGTTTTCGTCAACCCTCAAAAGTCCTCCCATGTGCTTAGTTAAACAAATGATAACATTGATGCTTGGTATAAGGTGGAATTTCATCCTTCAAGGAAAGGGCTCAGCTCTGAGACTATAGTAAGGAATAGTCACCCTCTCTCATAGGGGCCAGGCCCAAGGTCTTGCGTCTTTCTACTTTTCTCATTAAAAAGAAAAAAAGTTGCCAGTTTGCTTCGCTGGTGTGTTTTTTTTGGGGGGTGAATAGCAATGTGTGGAATGCAGTGAGTAACCATGTCCTTTCCTTTCAACATTGCTGCTCCAGGCTTTGGATTCAGGTGAGTGTGGTTTTTTTTTCCCCAGGGAGTAGCAGAGTCGGTCTTTTGAACGCAAGGCGCTGTTGTTTTCCTTTGTCTCTTTCCACCGAAGAGAAATGGAAGGGAATCTGTGTACGTGGGAATGGGGGTAGGCGGGGAAGCGAGATCTGGGGTGGGGGGCAAGGGAGGGGAGGAATCCCCAAGGACTTGCCTTTGAAGGACTTGGGGGAAGCTAGTTGCACAATGAGACAAATCCTGAGATATGAAACACTGTGTAGTAGTGGGAAGTAAAAGATAAAACCAAGCTTCATAAAGTAAAGGTAAAGGTTCCCCTCGCACATATGTGCTAGTCGTTCCTGACTCTAGGGGGCGGTGCTCATCTCCGTTTCAAAGCCAAAGAGCCAGCACTGTCCGAAGACGTCTCCGTGGTTATGTGGCCGGCATGACTCAACGCCAAAGGCGCACGGAACGCTGTTACCTTCCCACCAAAGGTGGTCCCTATTTTTCTACTTGCATTTCTTTTACGTGCTTTTGAACTGCTAGGTTGGCAGAAGCTGGGACAAGTAACGGGAGCTCACCCTGTTACGCAGCACTAGGGATTCGAACCGTTGAACTGCCGACCTTTTGATCATCCCACTAAGGCTTCAGAGGCTGGTTAAATCCTTAGTTTAATTGAATGATCTACTGTGAAATTGAATTGCACGCTTTCTATAGGATGGGGAGCGTCATTGGCCAGAATGTTTTAAAAAGTTAAGAGTTTTTTAAAAAGTACAACCTCTTTCTGAATCCTTAGCAAGTTGATTGGCTCCGTAATTTTGGGAGGAAAAACCATGATGGATTATCGGAGTCAGTTTGGCTTAGTGGTTAAGGCACTAGGCGAGAAACCAGGAGACTTGAGAGTTCTAGTTCCACCTTAAACATGAAAAACCAGCTAGATGACTTTGGGGCAATCCCCAGGAGACAGTGAGTTCTAGTCCCGCCTTAGCCATCAAAGCCGATTGGTTGACTTTGGGACAAACGCCAGGAGACTGTGCGTTGTAGTCCTGCCTTATACGTTAAAGTCAGCTGAGTGACTTAGGGCCAATCATCAGGAGACAGTGAGTTCTAGTCCCGCCTTAGCCATCAAAGCTGATTGGTTGACTTTGAGACAAACGCCAGGAAACTGTGAGTTGTAGTCCTGCCTTATACGTTAAAGTCGGCTGAGTGACTTAGGGCCAATCACCAAGAGACAGTGAGTTCTAGTCCTGCCTTAGCACAAAGCCAATTGGTTGACTTTGGGACAATCACGAGGAGACAGTGAGTTGTAGTTCCGCCTTAGCCACATGAAAGCCAATTGTGTGGCCTTGGACCGGTCCTCTTTCTCTCTCAGCCCAACTCACCTCACAAGATTGTTGTTGTGAGGAAAATAGACAGAGGAAGGGGTATTACATACGTTTGGCACCTTGAGTTATTTATAAAGTGATGAAGACAGGATATAAACAAGTACTACAGTAAATAAATGGTACCCAGCCACGAGTTTTAAGCAGGGACACATACCTTTTTGCTTTTCCTTATCCCATCTCTTCTCAGCCCTGTCGGAAAAAATACCTTGTTTTCCTTGATGGAGTTGGCTGAAATGGCAAAATTGACTATTTTGATTAAAGAAAAGAACATAAGTACGTTTGTTTCCACACGGAGACCGCTTCTGAACTCCGTGCTTGATGTGGAAAAGAATGAAACTTTGATTTGGGGTTTCACAGATCAGACGGATAGATCTTTATAGAAATGGCTTGTTCATATTATTATGAAAAAGCAAAAACTTGTGATCTGATGTTAATGCCTTATTTTACTGTAACAGAGAGAGTCGGAAGTCAATACTTCTTTTTCTTTCTTTCTTTTTCTTATCTTTCCTCACTTCTCTTCCCCCTTCCCCCTGCTCCTTTTCTATTTACTTTTGTATTTTGTATTTTACAATACTTTTAGAACTCAGTAAAAATGTTAAACTGGGAAAAATATCTTGTTTTCCTGTGCTAGTAATCTAAGCCAATCCTTGCAACCCGTTCTAGCAATTTATTTGTGGGCTCTGTAAAATCTAATCCAAGGCTGTATAGGTTGCCTCCCCTGTGAAGAAGGGTGGATCTCCCCTCCCTCAAAAGTTTCTACATGCATGCTGAGGGGCCCAAGCAGTGATTCTGAATGAAGGGGCATATATGTACTCCTGGGATTAATATGATGATGATGATGAAGAAGAAGAGTAATAATAATAATAACAATAGCGATACCCATTGTCACTTGGTACCATGTCCTAGAATTTTATACGATACATCAACAAATTGCAGCTTCCTGCAATAACACCAGCGGAACTGCAAAAAACTGCGCTACTTGGAATATCGTACATCTTAAGAAAGTACTTGGTTGATACCTAGGACGCTGGCAGCAACTCGTATCAACCATTAGCACCAGTCAATGGTATTTATGACACATTTTTAAATGTTCAGTTGACTGAGTTTCATGTTTAATGAATAAAGTAAATAATAATAATAAAACAATAATAATAACAACAACAACAGTATACCTTAACAATTTCTAGGTCCTTGGTTAGGACTCGAGCTGCTGAGCTATTAACCAGCCTCAAAGGCTGTGAATCTCACTAAAGATTAACCAATAATAATAATAATAATAATAATAATTAATAATAATAATAAATAATAATAATAATAATAATAACAACAAACAACAACAACAACAACAACAACACAACAATACCACCACCGTGTTTCCCCAAAAATAAGACTGTGTCTTATATTAATTTTTTTCTCTAAAAGATGCATTAGGGCTTATTTTCTGGTTAGGTCTTATTTTAGGAAAAATATGGTACTAAATGCATCCATCTGGCTGACAGCCTTAACTGGGGTTTATTTTGGGGGTAGGGCTCAGAGGTGGCTTTCAGCAGATTCTGACCAGTTCTGGAGAACCAGTAGTGGAAATTTTGAGTAGTTCGGAGAACCGGTAATAAAAATTCTGACTGGCCCCACCCCCATCTATTTTCTGCCTCCCATGTCCCAGCTGATCGGGAGGAAATGGGGATTTTGCAGTAACTTCCCCTGGATTGGGGAGGGAATGGAGATTTTACAGTATCCTTCCCCTGCCACGCCCACCAAGCCATGCTATATCCACCAAGCCACACCCACAGAACCGGTAGTAAAATTTTTTGAAACCCACCGCTAGTAGGGCTTATATTACGAGCATCCTGAAAAATTATACTAGGACTTATTTTCCGGTTGGGTCTTATTTTCAGGGAAACAGGATAATAATAATTCTTTATTGGCCAAGTGTGATTGGACACACAAGGAATTTGTCTTCGGTGCATAAGCTCTCAGTGTACATAAAATACATTCATCAAGAATCATAAGATACAACGCTTAGTGATAGTCATAGGATACTAAATAAGCAATCAAAATCAAACTAGGAAACTTAAACAAAACAATATAAATCGTAAAGATACAAGCAACAAGTTTATAGTTTTTAAGTAGAAGGAGATAGGTAATAAAAAGGATGAGAAGAAGAATAGTAGTACAGTCTTAGTAAATAGTTTGACAGAGTTGTGGGAATTAGTTGTTTAGCAGAGTGATGGCATTCGGGGAAAAACTGTCCTTGTGTCTAGTTGTTCTGCTTTGCAATGCTCTATCATGTCGTTTTGAGGGTAGAAGTTGAAGCAATTTATGTCCAGGATGTGAGAGGTCTGTAGATATTTTCACAGCCCTCTTTGACTCATACAGTATACCAGGTTCTCAATGGAAGACAGGTTGTTTTTTCTGCAGTTCTAATTATCCATTGAAGTCTGTGTCTGTCTTGTTGCAGAGCCAAACCAGACAGTGGTTGACAGCTTTGGTAACTCAGGTCGAAGCAGAGCTGATCTGCATCAATGCAAGGGTAGCGCAGAATCACAGAGAATTCTGGTTAAGGGAAACAGCTTGCTTGTCTGCAGGGAAAGATCTCCTGAAATGCTGCCCTTTTGACTCATATATTTCTTTCTTCTACTTTTCCAGTTCACTGGCATCATCCTGCTAGGCGTTGGCATTTGGGGCAAGGTGAGCTTGGAAGTCTACTTCTTCCTGCTGAATGAGAAGGCCAGCAATGTTCCTTACGTCCTGATCGGGGCAGGGTTGGTGGTCGCTCTGCTCGGCACCTTTGGCTGTTTTGCCACCTGTCGCGGAAGCACATGGATGCTGAAACTGGTAATTGTTTCAAACAGCCTTTTTTTTTTGATTGAACGCCAAGTAACTGGTTGGGATTTGCAATTTCAGCCCAGTTTAAAAATGAAGATGCATGCATGTTAGCGTTGGCATGGTGGCGCAGTGGTTAGAATGCGGTACTGCAGGCTATTTCTGCTGACTGCCGGATATCGGCAGTTTGAATCTTACCAGGCTCAAAGTTGACTCAGCCAACCATTCATCTGAGGTGGGTAAAATGAGGATCCAGATTGTTGGGGGCAATAGGCTGACTCTGTAAACTGCTTAGAGAGGGCCGTAAAGCACTGTGAAGCGGTATATAAGTCTAAGTGGTATTGCTACTGCTAATGATATGTGGGAAAGACCAGGCCAAGAGACACAAGGGAATGGTTAGATAAGGGATAGCATAGCCTGCAGATGGATAGTAAACAGTGCACTGTAAAGCACAGTGAAGCGGTATAGAAGTCTTAAGTGCTCTTCCTTCCTTCCTTTCTTTCCTTCCTTCCTCGGTGCCGAAAAGATTCTCCCATCATTGGTATAGGGTCTTCTGCTTAAACAGGCAGTTGGACTAGAAGACTTCCAGGTTTCCCTTCCAGCTGTATTCTGATTGATTGATTAATCATTAAGGATCATTTTTGATGTTCTTCATTCCTTTTTTTTTCTGTCCACAGTATGCCATGTTCTTAACCCTCATCTTCCTTGTGGTGCTGGTGGCTGCCATTCTGGGTTTTGTCTTCAGGCATGAGGTGCGTGCTGTGTCTTCGATAATTTGCTGTTTTAGTGGGGTAAAAATGGAACTTCCTGTTATTTTTTCCTCAGGAAGTTTGCAAGTAGGATCCTCTTTTGTTTTCCTTGAAAACTGGAGCTTGCCAAACAGCCGAGATTCCTGAAAAATCCTTCCAGTAAAGGTCATTTCATTCAAATTTGATCTCCCATTTTTTTAAATTTAAGAAATTCCATTCCTTTATTTAGCTGGAATGAGGTGGTGTATAATTTCATAGTAAATGTCTTTGAGGATGGGAGTGTGTGTAAAATTGCCCTTAAGTTGTCCGAAACGTCTCTTAGGTTTTATAAAACGAGCCTGCCTGACTTGTGACTGACGTTTTTGCACAGCCAATTTAGGATGGTGGTGGTGTGTGTAGAAGCTGTTTGAGTCCATACCAAAATGCGGATTGTAATGGAAATCCTTCCAATTCTCAATTCTTTGTATTTTTAGCATCAACGATGGCTTAATGTGCCAAAATGCATTTAGAAAAACATCTGCTTTGGCATTTTTGCTGTATAAAAATATGTGCGGATTCCCAGTATTTTTTTTTAAAAAAAATACAATTTAACACAAGAAGGTTGAAACCGACAGAAAATTACCACCTCTCATATGAACCGTATCTTGAAAGTGGCATTTTTCTATTTCTGCAAAGTCTTTTCTAAGAATCTGCCATTCAGGGGTTCGCTGCTGGGGGTTCGCTGCTGGGGGTTCGCAGGGGTTTGGGAGAACCTCTAGCTAAGATTCTGTGCAGTTTGGAGAAACCCCCCAAATCCCACTCCTGGCTGGCCCCACTCCGCCCCGCCCCTCTCCTCTCACGAGTCCCCACACGGCCCGTTTTGGATGCACGTAAATGCAGGGCGCGCGTGGAGATGAAAAACGGGCCTATCGGAAGTTTGGGAAGGCTGGAAACAAGCCCATTTCTGGCCTCCAGAGGGCCTCCGGAGCCTGGGGAGGCCGTTTTTACCCTCCCGGAGGCTAGATGAAAATCTCTGGAGCCTGGGGAGGGCAAAAACGCCTCCCCGCCCGCTGTGGTGCAGTAGGCCGACTAGGCCACGCCCACCATGGCGATGCCCAGTCAGCAACAGGCCAGAGAAGCCCTTGCTAAAATTTTTGAAGCCCACCCCTGCTACCATTCTGATATGTTATCAGGCCTTTTCATTCCTTGCATCTCCCGTTAGCTTTGAATTCATTCAAATGGCTGGAGGTGTCTTTTGAGCAGGTGACAGCCTCATCTGTACATGATGGAACGTTCTCCTTTTCCTTAAAGATAAAGGATAGTTTTAAGAAAAACTATGAAAATGCTGTGATGCGTTACAATGGGACCAGAGACGACCCCAGCAAAGCAATCGATGACATCCAGAAAACAGTGAGTGGAAACCTTGTATTTTTCTCTTTGTTTGCTATAACTTACATACTTACGGTTTGTTATAATGTATAAACTTACAGCTTGTTCTGTCCCTGAAACACCTTGAGATGGGGGTCAAGGGAACTCCCTAAATAAATCTTTTTTTTTTTATTAAAAAGTTTTACAGAAGGTTTACATATTTATTCCCCCCCTTCTCTACCCCCCCCTCCCCTCCCTTACCCCTCCTCCCCTCCCCCAACCCCTTCCCCTTTCCATCCGTCCACCTCCCCGCCCTCTTACCAGAACAAATTACAGGGTATAACATTCAACAAACATAATCCATCCTAATCTAAATAATTATAACATTCAGCATCTCTTATTTCTTCAATTCCCTAATTATCCTGCTAACTTAATTACCTAAAGACACACCAAATATCTACATATTTATTCATAACCTATCTGCAACTTCTTATTCCGGTATTTACTTTGGATATAATCTATCCATCTTCTCCAGTCCCTTAAGTATCTTTCATTTGAATGTTCCTTCAGGTACACCGAGATTTTTGCCATCTCCGCTAGGTTTGTTACTTTCATTGTCCATTCTTGGATTGTAGGTAAATCTTGCTTCTTCCAATATTGTGCCACCAACAATCTTGCTGCAGTTATTAAATTCAAAATCAAATTAGTCTCTGTAACTGTACAATCCGTAACTATACCCAGCAGAAACAACTGTGGTGTAAATTTTAACCTCTTTTTAAGAATATTTTGTAAAATAAATAAATCTTGAAAAGTAGGAGAAGCAAAATTTTGAACTCTGGTGAAATTTGACGTTTATCTATGGCAGTGATGGCTAACTTTTTTGTTGTTGTGGGCCGAAAGCGCACACCCACGGCCACACCCATAATGCAATGCGCATGCGACCCCCCCCCCCCTGTGTCCCTCCCCCTTGCGCATGTGATCCCCGCACCCCATTTTGGGCCTAGTAGGCCTCCCTGCAGCCTCCTGGGAGCAAAAATGCACCAGACCCCTCCACATCCCATTTTGGGCCTAGAATAGAATAGAAATAGAATGGAATGGAATGGACGGAAGGGACCTTGGAGGTCTTCTAGTCCAACCTCCTGCTTAGGCAGGAAACCCTACACCACTTCAGTCAAATGGTTATCCAACATCTTCTTAAGAACTTCCAGTGTTGGAGCATTCACAACTTCTGGAGGCAAGTAGTTCCACTGATTAATTGTTCTAACTGTCAGGAAATTTCTCCTTAGTTCTAAGTTGCTTCTCTCCTTGATTAGTTTCCAGATTATATTATTTCCAAATAATATTCCCAAAGGGTGTTTGAGGTTAACGTGGAACACTTCCAAGCCAGATCTAGAAAAGAAAACCCTTTTTAAGTTAGAGCCCTTCTTGAAAGATCTGCAATAGGCTACTTGGACATTGGGGCGTCCCATTTTCGGGTGGCGTAGTTTGCACGTCTTGCCATGGTCATCTCATGCTCCCTTTTGCTTTTGCCCAGTTGCACTGCTGTGGTGTAGAGAATTTCACGGACTGGAAAACGAGCGACTACTTCAAAGAAAAAGGGATTCCCATCAGTTGCTGCAAAGCTTTGGAGAACTGTACGGACGTTGACTTGAAGAACGTCACCAGAGCAGGAGACAAAGTTTACGAACGTGTAAGTTCATAAGGCCTGCTGACCTTTCTAGGCTTCTCTAGAACAGGGGTCTGAAACCTTAAACACTCGAAAGAGCCATTTGGACCCGTTTCCCACAGAAAACAAAACACCGGGAGCCACAAAACCTGGGTGGGTGTGGCCAACTCAACGTCATTCACTCCCACACAATCACATGACACACACACCAGCCATGCCTACTTTTGTGCTTGGCTGGGGGAGGGGCGTGCACATTTGGCTCCGCCGACGAGGGAAGAGGAAGGCCAGGCTTGGGGGATGTCCCTCACCCCACAAGATTGATTGATTGATTGATTGATTGATTGATTTTTCAAATTTATATGCCGCCCTTCTCCCGTAGGACTTGGGGTGGCTCACAAAATAAAAACAACGCAACAATCCAAGTGCTAAAATTAGTCAATTAAAAACCCTAGACAATTAAAAAACCTCGCAGCAGATCAGGGAATTTGCTGAAAAAGCCATGTCTTCAGCTCGGCGCGGAAAGTGCGGAGGTCAGGGCCGTCCGGAGCCCGGTGGGTAACCCATTCCAGAGGGTCGGTGTGGCCACAGAGAACGCCCTCATCCTGGGGGCCGTCAGCTGACATTGTCTGGCCGACGGCACCTGGAGGAGGGCAATCCTATGTGAGCGCACTGGGCGGTGGGAGGCCGGTAGGAGATGGTCCTGCAAGTACCCCGGACCCATGCCATGATCCGCCCCCGCTGTTCTCTCCCAGTCCTCTTTGCTGGGTATAGCAAATGTACCACAACGAAGGCAGAATCCTGTTGCTGTGCAAAGGCAAGTACAGGGGTGCCTTGCTCCCGCACTAAGGCTCTGCCCATTGCCACCGCTGCGACAGGGCGACAGCTCTTTCATCCCTTTCCGCGACAGTGCGCCGCGGCAGAGGGCTGAAAGAGCTGCATGCGGCTCAGGAGCTGCGGGTTGCCAATACCCACTCTAGAATCTGGAAACCTGGAACACGGGCTGATTCTTCCAAATTTTGGTTTTCTGGCAAGCTGCTTAATGGTAGCTTTAAAAAAAAAAAAAACTAACTAAATGAAAATAACTAGATGGAGCCACTCACAAAGTTAAACAAGTTTTCAATAAAAGATAAAAGTTGGAGAATTGGTTCCCCATTCCACCTTTGACTCTTCCATTGATACCATGATGTCACCAGTTTGGCCTTCTTTCCTGGGCTGCAATGAAGGTGCCCACCCTTGCATGAAGACATGGCTTGTTGTAACAGAGTTTATTGATAAGCCGTGATGGACAGCTCCTACCTGGTGCTGTGTCATAAGACATCGTCTGTTGGTCCAAGGGCCACATTAGGCCAAAAGAAGGTCTATGGAGATTCTCAGTCATCCAGGTCATGGTTGTCCCAAAGGTGCTTTTTCAAGAGGCAACTGGACTTCCTGGTTTTTATTTGAAGACGTTTCGCTTCTCATCCAAAAAGCTTCTTCAGCTCTGACTGAATGGTGAGGAATGGAAGGAATGGAATCCAGTCAGAGCTGAAGAAGCTTCTTGGATGAGAAGTGAAACGTCTTGAAAGAAAAACCAGAAATTCCAGTTGCCTCTTGAAAAAGCATTTTTGGGTGACAACAGAAGGTCTGGATGTGTCTTTAGGGAGGTTTCAAAACTGTTAAGGCATAACATGATGGTCTTGACTAGAAGGAATGAAACTGGGATTTCCCTAAATTTCATCCTCACCAGTTTCATTGCTTCCGTGTCTGTGAAATTTTGAAGCCTTGATGTTCTTCTTCTGTCTGGACCTCGTTTGCCTTCAATCTTTTCTTTGGAGGATTGAGTCTCCATGATCATATTATGGACCACAATGTGAGATAACAAGGAATGTGTGTGTGGCATGGAATGCGAACCTTGGATTGTGAGTAGGTCCTGACCTTTACTTCCTGTTGAGCTGAAAAAGGAGCAGGTCTTGGTTGCTAATCCTTCCAAAGTCCACTGTACTAAAAGCGACAGCGTTGCACAAATATTGACACAACCTGGAAGACCTTTGCAAGTCTCCCGTCCGATTAAAAGAAATCGGCCTACGATCTTTGATGAAGGTTAAAGTCAAGTCAAGGTTGAAATGGACTTGGGTGTGTTTTTGGTTCCTTGTGAAAAGGCCTCTCCTTTGGTGGCTCTTGTTTCCCTCTGCAGGGTTGTTTTAGCCTGGTGATACAAACCATGGACTCTGAGATGGGCATTGTGGCTGGGATCTCCTTCGGTACTGCTTGTTTCCAGGTGAGTCTTCCTTAAGAACCGTGTAGGTGGACCTTCATCTGGCCTAACGCCTATATCTTTTCCTCCTCCCTTTGATCTTTTGATTACCCTGCTAGCAAAGTTGCATGGAGACCCTTGGCCAACTTGCTCCGTTAAGATTCTGTTTCTTCTTCTTGAGCAGTGCCAACATCTGGCTTCTGGCCAGGAACCAGGGGTGGGATTCAAAAATTTTAGCAATCGGTTCTCTTCCTGGTTGCTGGGTGGGCGTGGCCAGGGTGGGCGTGGCCTAATCGGCCTCCTGCACCATGGTTGGGTGGGTGGGGGAGCATTTTCACCCTTCCCAAGCTCTGGAGGCTTTCCTCGAGCCTCCAGGAGGGCGAAAACAGCCTTCCCCAGGATCTGGAGGCCGTCTGGAGGCCGGAAACGGGTCGGTTTCCGGACTTCTGGAACTTCTGGGAGGCCTGCTTTTCACCCTCCCCAGGTTCCCAAGGCTTTCCTTGAGCCTCTGGGAGGGTGAAAACAGCCTCCTCCAAGCTCTGGAGGTCCACTGGAGGCTGAAAACGGGCCCATTTTCGGACTTCCAGAACTTCCAAGAGGCTCATTTTTTGCCCTCCCAGAGCCTCCGCATAGGCGCTGCACTTACCTGGCATCCAAAATGGGCCACGTGGAGACTCCTGGGAGGGGCGGGGCCAGACAGTCCTTGCAACTACCAGTTTGGCGAAAAAGTGATGCTGAATCCCACCCCTGCTAGGAACCCCTTAAAAATATAGCAATTTAACATTTAAACATAGTTCTTAATTCAAATAATGCTATTTAATACAGTTTCCCAATTATTTCCCTAAATTCTGTCTATTTAACCATACCATTTATATAAAGACCAATTTTAAGTAATTTTTGTTTGTAAATCATAATCATAATAATAATCATTATTTCAATTTTCTTGCATAAGTGTGTTATTGATGTCCTCGAAATAACAATCACACGAGAAGATAACGAAAGTACAGAAATCCTCGAGCCCATAATTTCTGTTGTTAAACAAGACATTTATTGAGTTTTGCCCCATTTTACGACTTTTCTTGCCACAGTTGCTAAGCGAATCACTGCAGCTGTTAAGTCACAGGGTTCTTAAGCGAATCTGGCTTCCTCGTTGACTTTGCTTGTCAGACGGTCGCAAAAGACGATCTTGTGACCCCGGGACACTGCAACCGTCATAAATACAAGTCAGTTGCCAAGAGTCCGAATTTTGATCACTTGATCTGGGGATGCTCAGTAGGAAAAACATCCACCAGTCACTTGTTCCAGTGCCGTTGTAACTTTGAACGGTCCCTAAACTTAGTCAAGGATTATCTGTACAGATGTTTAGCTGGATGCCATCGAGTTAACACTGTCTTTCTTTTTCTCTGTTAGTTGATTGGCATTTTCTTGGCCTGCTGTCTCTCCCGGTCCATCACGAGTAACCAGTACGAGATGGTGTAACACTACAATACGAGAGTTCGCCCGACACTCCAAGGTATCAAATGTTTTCGCAATAAAAGAACCCTTGCATCTCGCATGGCCCTGTGTTGGAAGGAGTCAGGCTTCCCTTTTTGAAATCAAAAGAAATGGCCAAAATCCAGTTAAATTAATGGAATCGCTTGGCAAGCAAAGCACTTGTCAGTTTTCAAAACCTTCCCGGTTACAGTTTGATTTGGAGGGCAGTTTTTCCTTTGAAGTGAGACGCCCTATACAGCATCAAGCCACTTGATAGGCAAATATATGAAATGAGACCAAACCTCCTCCCTTTATTAGCACTGATGAAGTCTTCAATAAAACAACCAAGCTCAGAGAGCACAAAGGACCCTATAGTCCTCCTCCTCCTCCTCCTCCTCTTCTTCCTTCCTCGCCTCTTCCTCTCCTCCACCTCCTCCTCCTCCCTCTCTAAGCAGTTTACAGAGTCAGCCTATTGCCCCCCAACAATCTGGATCCTCATTTTACCAACCTTGGAAGGATGGAAGGCTGAGTCAACCTTGAGCCAGTCATGATTGAACTGCTGGCAGTGGGCAGAGTTAGCCTGCAATACTGCATTCTAACCACTGTGCCACCAGGGCTCCTGATAGCAATAGCACTTAGACTTATATACCACTTCACAGTGCTTTACAGCCCTCTCTAAGCGGTTTACAGTGTCAGCATCTTTCCCCCAACAATCTGGGTCCTCATTTTACCCCCCAAGCTTAGTCAACTTAGTCAACTTTGAACTGGTGGGATTCAATCTGCCAAACTGCTGGCAGCCGGCAGTCAGCCAAAGTAGCCTGCAGTACTGCACTCTAACCACTGCACCACCCCGGCTCAGAAATGTGGTGTCTAATATCCTATATCCATGGTTAGATGCACTTTTGAGTCCTGCTTTTTCTTCTAAAATGGTTATTGCAGATTTGGGAAATTATAATAGGGATGGTCATTGGCCGGATGTGCGCGTCACACTAATCCTGACACCCAACAATAGCAATAAGGTGTACACCATTTTCACAAATTGCGATTATTGTGTTTGTAGCAAGCCCCACCCTCCCATTTTGGCTTAATGTGTAATTTCTTGGCATTTAAAAACAACTGTCTCTTAATCTCTTTATTTTCTGTTCTTTTATTTGCAGGGTTTATTTAAACAAACAAAAACACAGAAGATTTTTTTTTTTTTTTTAGGAGCCACTTCCCTGACAGACTTGAGTTTTTGAAAACCAGTTTGATTTTACCGCTGCCTTTAGGATTTTATTTGAATTGTGTTTGAAAGTACCAAGGAGAAGGCAAGGAAGCTTATCCTTTGTGATTTAAAACTACTGAGGACCAGTAGTTTTAAAATAGATTTTTTTTTTTTTTAAAAAAGGGAGGCTTTTCATAGTACTATTAGTTGCTGTGTCATTAATCTTCTACGTATTTAAGTGGACGTATTATTTAAATTTATAGTAGCCTATTCTTGCTATTGTAGTATAACTTAACCAACAGTTGTGTCTTTTAGTTAAATGTTTGGTTATTTTTTCTCTCTGGATTAATGCTTCTCATTCTGGACTATCAAATCCTACCCAGAACCAAAGTACCTTCAAAAAAAATACAATGAACGATTTCAATCCAGACCTCCACAACCTCTTAGCTTGGGGCTCAAATACTCTATTTTGGGGCTCAAACACTACAGTTTCGACTTACAACAGTTCATTTAGTAACCGTTCAAAGTTACAGCAGTGCTGAAAAGAAGTGAGCATTATAAGCATTTTTCACGCTTATGACTCTTGCAGCATCCCCATGATCATGTGATTTACATTCGGATCAGTGGTGGGTTTCAAAATTTTTTACTACCGGTTCTGTGGTTGTGGCTTGGTGGGTGTGGCATGGCTTGGTGGGCATGGCAGGGGAAAGATACTGTAAAATCTCCATTCCCACCCCACTCCAGGGAAAGGATACTGTTAAATCTCCATTCCCTCCCCAATCCAGGGGAAGGTTACTGCAAAATCCCCATTTCCTCCCAATCAGCTGGGACTCGGGAGGCAGAGAATAGATGGGGGTGGGGCCAGTCAGAATTTTTACTGCCGGTTCTCCGAACTACTTCAAATTTCCGCTACCGGTTCTCCAGAACTGGTCAGAACCTGCTGAAACCCTCCTCTGATTCAGATGCTTGACAACTGCTTCATCTTTATGACGGTTGCAGTATCCTGGGGCCACGCCCTTGATCAGCTTTTGCGACCTTCTGACAAGGAAAAAAAATCAATGGGGAAACCAGATTCATTTAGCAGCCGTGTTACTCATTTAACGCCTGCATTGATTCACTTAACCAACAAAGTGACCATATAGTTATTCTAAGCTCTCAGTCAAATGTAGTAGGAAAACTTATAAAACGGAGCAAAAGCTCACTTAACAAACTTAGCAACGTAAACTCTGGGCTCAATTGTGGCCGTAAATTGAGGATTACCTGTATTTTGTTGCTGTTGGATCCATTCCTGGAGACTCCACCTTGGGATTTTTGCAAACTTGACAACTTGAAGATGTGTGGATTTTAACTTCCAGAATTCTGGAAGTTGAAGTCTGTGCAACTTCGCACTGCCAAGTTTGAAAAAAAAAAAAAAAACCTCAAAACTGTTCCAATTTTTGAAGCGTTCCAAAACTTCCTTGCTGGAGAAGCTCAACTAGAATCAGTTGTCCACCTTTGAACAAAGGGCGATGAAGATTTCGGTAGACCGTACCAAAACTTTGATCTGGAGTTGCCTTCTGACCTTTAGAATTGGCCTCAGAGATTCTCAAATATGTCTTAGGTGGCTTAATCCTAAATTCTGATGAGAAGTCAACAATGTTCAGAGAAGACACTTCTTTTGAATCGTCTTCCCTTGGAGTCATCTCCAAAGTGGACCCTATCTTTTGGTAAAGAGAGAAAGTTTCTTTCTTTATGGACCCTTGCCTTTAATAGATAGGGACAAGATAAAATAATAATGACCTGTAAACCCCCAGCAAAATTGTGGCTTGTTGGTGGAACAGATGTTTTGGGTTGTAGAAGGCCTCTGGTCCAATTCACAGGATCTCCAAATGTGGTGGGAAATGGTTTTTTTTAAGAGCTTTTGGTAATGTTAATCTCTAGATGGACTGATAATTATGAGTTTGTATAAGCTAGTTATAGCTTATACAAACTCATATAACCAAAGGACGCGGTGGCTCAATGGCTAAGATGCTGAGCTTGTCGATCAGAAAGGTCGGCGGTTCGAATCCCTAGTGCCGCGTAACGGGGTGAGCTCCCGTTCCTTGTCCCAGCTTGCTTGTGACCATGTCCCCCCCCATGGTCACATGATCAAAATTCCAACGGACTCCTATTTACGACGGTTGCAGTGTCCCCGGGGGTGTGTGTGGGGTGGGGTCATGTGATCCCCTTTTGCAAACCTCCTGTCAAGCAAAGTCAGATTCACTGAACAACTATGTTCCTAACTTAACCACGGCAGTGATCCGCTTAGCAACTGTGGCAAGGAAGGTCGTAAAACGGGTCAAAACTCACTTAACAACAGAAAATCTCGCTTAGCAACGGAACGTTCGGCTCCATTGTGATCATAAGTCGAGGGCTACCGGTGTTACCTTCGGAAAGACACTCCTGATGATGGTGCGGTGTTATCCCGCTACTCGTTAATTAGTTCCGGAAGAGTGAACGGGTACTAAAAACGAGTACCAAACAAATCATGTGACCAGGTGATGCTTTGTTTTTGCCAGAAAGACTTCCTGTCCTCGGCTGGTTGTCCCCCTTTTCCTATGTCAGGAACCTTCCCAGCCTGGCTGACTTCCTGTCCTCCCTCTGTGGCTGTCCCCTCTTATCGCAGCGGGTCGAGAACCAAGCCACGAGAACCGAGACACATTTTCATGTCAAAATGCATCAGGTACCCAATTTGACCGAGTTCCGAGGTGTACCACTACACTTAAGTTCCATGTACCGCTGTACATCAATAGACAACACCTGGCTTGAATCTAAGTTGTGGTCTGGGAAAAAAAATCTCCTCTTGGCCTCCTTTCCAATTTCCTCTGCCCGCCTCTTGCCCTTCTATCCCAAAAACTGAATGGTATTTGGTGCTAATTCCTTGCATTCTGAAAACCCCTGGAATTTTTTGGGAAAGGAGGTTTCCTTTGGTCCATGTTCCTTGTCTGGGGAACAGTTCCTACTCTGAAAACAAATTCTAATTTCAGTGACGCCTTTGAAGCCGAGTTGTTGTGATCTTTGTGTCTCTGTGTGTGTATTTTTAAGGCTCGATGGGAGAGTCCTGGATCTTAGCTGTCACTCTGCATCCGTTTGAGTATGGTTTCATCATCAGTATTATGTGATGCTTTGAATATATTTCTTTTTTTAAAATTTGTATTCAATAGAGAAATCTTCCCGGACCCATAATAAACCTTTATACACTTTTTTTTTATTCTGAAAGCTCTTTAAATACATTACTTGGTCGTTTTTAATTTCTTGCGAACAGTTACAATTCAGCAAATATTTTGATTTCTCTGGTTGTTAACGTGTGATAAATGTCTGGGAATGAATTGCTCCTTTTGTTAATGTTGGAAATATATACATGTTTATTTCTAATCTTCCTGCAAATTAAGATACAGTAGTAGCGCCCAAAATTGTGGAAACTTTTGGGAAAAGTGTATTTTCTAAAGCTAGCTAATAACACCCCCTTTTTTTTTTGGAGTAGTACCATAAAGTTATATACAGTATCAATGGAAAGATAATTTAATCAAGAATGCAATGCAATAACTTTTATGAAGGATTTGCTATTAGAATAGCAGTTACAGTATAAAGAAGAAAAGTGAAACACATAGAAAAAATGAGATACATAAAAATTATCAGCACAGAAAAAACGAGATATACAAAAACTATCACCATATCAGTTAATACTTAGTTGGGGAATCTTTAGCATGAATGACGGCCTTACAATGGCTTCCCATGGAGTGAATCAAGTCTTTTAGTTCTGCAGCTGTTCTAATGTGAAACCAAGATTGAAGAATTATTCTATTAACTGGGTTTTTATTGCTGGGTCACTTCTGACTAGCATGTTTCTTTAGTCAGCTCCATAGATTTTCAATTGGGTGAAGGTCTGGGCTATTCCCAGGCCATTCCAGCAGTGGAATAGGATTATCTTGAAACTCAAAAAAAAAAAAAAAAAAAGTGGTGTTATTAGCCATCAAACTTCAAAAATACACTTTTCCCAAAAGGTTTCCACAATTTTGGCCACTACTGTATAGGTAGTCCTCAACTTACAACGGTAATTGATCCTGCAATTTTGGTCGTAAGTCATGATGGTTATAAAGAAAATCACCAGGTGACTATACCCGATTTTATGATAATATGTTTTGCAGCAGTGAAGAGAACACCATGGTCACAAAAGCAAGCACTGTGATTGTTAAGTGGCCATTGTTTGCTGTGGGGTAATTTTTGCCAGAAACTGGAAACTTTATTGCTGAAGGAAAATCTTAAGTGGTTTTACTTAGCCATCCTTTGCTTACTAACTGAACTGATTAAGGGCACTAAACGAGGACTACCTGAATATATTTTTGGACATATATCCTAAGTTTCTGAAATTAATTTGCAAATCTCTGGTTTGTTTTTTTTTTTTTACATATTTTTGGGGTGTGTGAGAAAATAAGGATTCCTGTTGAAGCTGCAAAAGCAGAGTTTGTAGAATGTACGCCTGGCTTTTTTTCTGACATTGAGCTTAATACTGTTTATTTCCAGGTAAAGGATGCCCCCTTGCGGATTTTTAGGAGAATGCTGGTGTAAAGAGATTCCTTGCTTTCAGCTATGTTATGGGATGCGACGTTGGGTTCCGCAGTTTGGCTATATCCGCAGATCCCGAAGGGCCTTTCGTTTTACCCTTTTTTACAGGGAGCCAATCTGGATTTGCAGTTTGCAAACCAAACTGCAGTTTTGCTATTCCAAAACCTCCACTTTACATCGCAGTGTATTTTTTTTTTTTGCTGCTTAAAAAAACAACAGTCGAATGCGTTGCAGAAAACTTTACGCCGAATAATATATCCGAGGGGGCGCAAAAGCATAGAGAGAGAGAAAAAAAAAACGATCCGGAGAAATGGCTTGCGGTAAAAGATACAGTTGGGGGGGAAGGAGTAGAGACAATGATCAGGAGATAATTGCACCTGGGCTCTAGCAGAAATGCGCACATACATACATCCGTGCTAATGGCCTTTAAGAGAAGGACACGCCTAGAAAAGGCTACAGGGAGAAGGTCAGAATGGACCCTGTGCTGCACTAAGCTTTTTATATTATTATTACTACTTTTGGACGGAGCGTGCTCACACCCGCCCTAACATCCGTGCTATCCACCAATTGCAGGGCATGATGGTACGGCAGATCACCCGCCCTCCCTGATAGCAGTAGGGGTACGGGTAGTACCCTAGCAGCGGCTCACATATTCTGCGACAGTAGCGGTGGGCTCGACGGCAGCGGGCGCAGCAGTATCCCCTCTCGTCCCAAAGGGAATGGAACTCGAGGCCGTGCTCGGTCTAGGGATGGCGAGAGGAGGAAGGAAACAATGAGTTGAGTTAGAAACAATTGTCTCATCGCATTGACCAGCGCGAGCTAGAAGTTGACTTGCCTAAGGAAAAGTTAGAAGAGGGACCCCAATGATTTCCTACGGCAGGGGTCTCCAACTTCGCTTTGAGTTTCCTTAGAGATGTCATATTGGCACATCTGGGAAAACCCGAATCTGAAAGCTTCCAGATTTTTCCCCACCTAAAAGAAAGTCCAAGTCCCTGCCCAGCACCCAAAAGTCCATTACGTGGTCCAATCAAAGCACCATCCTAACTGGAGATGCCTCCCGGTCACATCCCTCCAAGTGCAGGGCTAGATGTCCTTGACTCCCAGAGAAAAGAATGTTGTTATGACTATATGTCACCCTTACTCCATACAATCCACCCACCCCCCATCTCCCAGTTTCCCACAATAGTAAATGTGGCAGGTCTGAAGATGCAATGAGAAAGATGGCTTCCAGGCCTGACAGGCAACTTGTGGACTCCAACTCCCAGAATTCCTCTGCCAACCATGGATTTGTGCTTGGTGGGAATCCATCGGCACATCCCAAAGGACAGGGTTCTCCAATCTTGGCAACTTTAAGACTTGTGGACTTCAACTCCCAGAATTCCGTAGCCAATATGGGTTGCCAAGGTTGGAAACCTGTCACCTATGGGACATGCTGATGGATTCCCACCAAGCGCGAAGAGAGCCTTCGGTTGAGGTTATACAAGGGGCTAAGCCAATCAACAAATGCACTGTGGCCAAAGAAACACCCTGTGAATCAGGGTATAGCGATAAAAAGTTCACATGATGCTCCTTTTCTGATTCTTGCTTTGGTGGCTTACGTTCACTGGTTGCTCATTGGTGAAGCCAAGCGGACTTCACAATGATTTAATCATTGTGTTGTAAACCCAGTTATTCGGACTGCATCCTGTTCTGTAGGCAGGAGGGCCAAGGTGATGGATTATATGTATTCTCTCCAAGATTAGCTAGAGCCATGGTGGTGCAGTGGTTAGAGTGCAGTACTGCAAGCTACTTCTGCTGACTGCCGGCTACCTGCAATTTCGCAGTTCAAATCTCACCAGGCTCAAGGTTGACTCAGCCTTCCATCCTTCCAAGGTGGGTAAAATGAGGACCCAGATTGTTGGGAGCAAGAGGCTGACTCTAAAACTGCTTAGAGAGGGCTGTAAAGCGGTATATAAGTCTAAGTGCTATTGGTATTGCGATTGCAAGAGAGACAAGCTAGTCAAAACAGGGAAGACTCAGCTTGCTAAACAGATAATTGGATCTGCTTTAGGGCACTACTCCTTATCAGAGTAGTGTCCCTTGTAAAGGTAAAGGTTCCCTCGCACATATGTGCTAGTCGTTCCCGACTCTAGGGGGCGGTGCTCATCTCTGTTTCAAAGCTGAAGAGCCAGCGCTGTCCGAAGACGTCCCCGTGGTCATGCCGGCATGACTAAATGCCAAAGGCGCACCGAACGCTGTTTCCTTCCCACCAAAGGTGGTCCCTGTTTTTCGACTTGCATTTTTTACATGCTTTCTAACTGCTAGGTTGGCAGAAGCTGGGACAAGTAACGGGAGCTCACCCCGTTATGCGGCACTAGGGATTCGAACCGCTGAACTGTCGACCTTTCGATCGACAAGTTCAGTGTCTTAGCCACTGAGTCACTGTGTCCCTGGACGTCACCACAATGGTGCATCTCTTTCCTGCATCTTCCCCCCCCCCCACCTCTCTCTGTCAATAGTTTCTGGCAAGGGCAGGATGCAACATAACCCATCTCCATTGCAAACTATTCTCTTACTCCTCCTTTTGTTCATTCCCTGCCCCGACTCTCACTTTCTGGTGCAAATTCATAGCACTCGTATTTTTGGCTACTCTGGCTTCTCCCATCCTCTGCGTTCTTTCAGATTTCACAACGCTTTGAAGCAAGAAATTCTGAGCTTATTTTCCGAGGGCTGTTGGGGGGTGGGGGTGGGGGCTGCTTAATTGAAGAAACAGGACTTCCCAGCCTCCGCGGAAAAGATTGCTGAAAATTGCACTTGGCTTGGAGGCCGGGCTCAAGAATTGCCTTGTGACAATAGCCTGGTTTTTCAATTCCGAAGACTTACGTAGTCATTCACTGGTAAGTCGTCTTCGGTCAGCTGCCGAGCGTGGCGTTTGGAGCCTTCCTTTTCTTCCTTGCTCAAGGACCAGCGTCCCTGCTGAACATCTGCTTGGTTTCGCTCATCCATGGGAATCGGATCCTCATTTCCTTTTTCAAAGTCTAGAACGTTGGGATCTGGGGAGGGAGGTCCATAATCAGGATTAACACAGGGGTCTGCAACCTTAAACACTCAAAGAGCTATTTGGACCCGTTTTCCCGCAGGAAAAAAAAAAACACCGGGAGCCCAAAACCTGGGTGGGCGTGGGCAACTCCACGTCACTCACTCCCACCCAGTCACATGACCCCCCTAGCCACGCCTACCCAGCCAGTCATTAGAAAAGAGAACTGGTTGTTAAAAAACACCGGGAACCACAAAACCCTTCCCCCCCCTCTCTCTTTGCCGAAGAAACACATATTCATGTTCCCCATGGTCTGAAAAGCACAAAAACACATTCAATTTTCAAGTACGAGCTTTCCCTCCCTCCCTCCCTCCCTCCCTCTCTCTCTCTCTCTGTAACTCTCTCTGTCTCTCTCTTCCCCCTCTGTCTCTCTCCCTCCCCCTCTCTTATCTTCTCTTTCCCCCCTCTCTGTACCTCTCTCTCCTCCTCTCTATCTTCTCTCTCCCCCTCTCTGTATCTCTCCACCCCTCTCCTCCCTCCCTCCCTCTCTCTCTCTCTGTATCTATGTCTCTCTGCCCCCCCTCTCCCCCCTCTCTCTGTATCTCTCAGATTTCCAAGGCCAGGCAAGGAGTGACTGGGAGGGGAGGACGAGGGGCGGGGCCAGCCAATGATGGGACAGGGAGCCGCAGCAGAGGGCCCAAAGAGCCGCATGCAGCTCCGGAGCCGCAGGTTGCTGACACCCGGAATAACAAAATAATAAGAGTTGGAACGAACCTCGGAGGTCTTCTAGTCCAACCCCCTGTCCAAGCAGGAAACCCTATACCATTTCAGACCAATGGTTGTCCAATGTCTTCTTAAAAACCTCCAGTGTTGGAACATTCACAACTTCTGGAGGCAAGTTGTCCCACTGATAATTTGTTCTAACTGTCAGGAATTTTCTCCTTACTTCTAGGTTGCTTCTCTCCTCGATTAGTTTCTACCCATGCCTTCCAAGCCTTCAGGTGCTTTGGAGAATAAGACTAGAATAATCACCCTGCTGCTTCTCGCAGGCTGGTCAGTTTCTTAAGCCAGAGCATCTCTGCTGTTCTGGATTTAATTTTTGGCTTGACTAAGCTCATCCAGCCCTTCAGCGATTCCAAATGCCACTTCAGAATATGATTGAAAGCATTGTTGGCTTAATGATGCTAAGCCTCGCTGCATTTAAAATATTTCTGGCAGCTTTGCTGCTTAAAAACTTTCCAAGCAATTTACAGAAGTCATCGGAGAATCACCAAGGCTGGCTGGATGTGTCTGTCTGTCTCTGTCTCCTTGTCAATTTCAAATCTTTCCATAAGTTACCTTACACATGGTCATTTCAGGCTATTAGGTGGTGTTTGAACCCCACAATTTACCCAGCAAGTAATTTGTTATGAATTCATTCAAGGTAGCACATTACGATTCGGTGTGCTAGGCAAACCTAGGAAATCGGATTAAACAATGAGGGGTCCTTGGTGCTTTCTGAATTTGGTTGCTTTCATGCAGATGTTTCATTACCCAAACTAGGTAATATCAGTACTATTAAGGTGCCACGATGTAAAAAAAAAGACTCTAGAAAGAGTGTAGAGAAGAGCAACAAAGATGATCAGGGAACTGGAGGCTAAAAAATATAAAGAAGGTTGCTGTAACTGGGTATGTCTAGTTTAATGAAAAGAAGGACTAGGGGAGACATGATAGCAGTGTTCCAATATCTCAGGGGCTGCCCCAAAGAAGAAGGAGTCAAGCTATTCTCCAAAGCACCTGAAGGCAGGACAAGAAGCAATGGGTGGAAACTAATCAAGGAGAGAAGCAACTTAGAACTAAGGAGAAATTTCCTGAGAGTTAGAACAATTCATCAGTGGAACAACTTGCCTCCAGAAGTTGTGAATGCTCCAACACTGGAAGTTCTTAAGAAGATGTTGGATAACCATTTGTCTGAAGTGGTGAAGGGTTTCCTGCCTAAGCAGTGGGTTGGACTAGAAGACCTCCAAGGTCCCTTCCAGCTCTGTTATTCTATTTTCTATTTTACCTAGTTAGGTAATGAAACATCTGCAAGAAAACAAGCAAGCTCAGAGAGCATCAAGGACCCCTTATTTCAACCCTAATCTACAAATATTTTGCTTTATAAGCTCAAACCAGTAAGTCCACTTAGCTGTAGCTAAATGTGTTCTGCAAAAATATCCATAAAGTGGGTGGGAGGGGAGAAAGGAATGCTTAGAGATACTCCTTGACTTATGACCACTTGCTTAGGAATGTTCAAAGTTATGACAGGCCTCCCAGGGCTACTTATGACCTGTGTCCGAAGTTCTGACGGTTGCCCTCCCCCCATGCAATCACATAACTACATTTTCCTGCCCTTTAGAAAGAAAGGTCTAGTGGTGAAGACACCAAGTTAGAAACTAGGAGACTGCGAGTTCTAGTCCTGCCTTAGCCATGAAAGCTGGCTGAGTGACGTCGGACTAATCACCAGGAGACTGGGAATTCTAGTCCCATCTTAGGCATGAAAGCTGGCTAGGTGACCTTCGGCCAGTCACTGTCTCTCAGTCCAACCCACTTCACAGAGTTGTTTTTGTGGGAAAAACAGGAGGAAGAAGGCATATTAGATATGTTTGCCATGTTCAGTTATTAGGTCCATCATCTTCGGCTTGGTGCCTTGCTGGTGTGCTGCCGTCAAAGCACCGGGGAAGGGAAGGGAAGCAAATGGGCAATAAATCTGTATGTACCTATGGTGGGAATTTCAGAAGGGGGGAAAAAGTTGAAGAACAGAGCATTTGAGAATCTGGTTCGTGCCAGGCATCTTCAAGGCCGTTTGCCCTGAGAGTAGAATTTCACCAGCCTCAACCCCTCAGCGTTTCTCAAAACATCTCGGTAACATCGGATTGGCTAAAGACGGACTGGTATTGGGGGGAAGGATGGGGAACCAAGGGGCATAGATCTGTATTGTTGCATGGGAACCTTAGATTCCACCTGGCTTTTCTACAACCATCATCTCTTAGTAAAGATACTTTTCGCTTCAACCAAATGGAGTCGAGAGTTTTCCTCACCAAAGGACTCAGACTGGGGCAGGTCTGACATAGTTATAAAAAAACAAAGGTGAGAAATAGATAAATAATGGGGCACCCCTGCTAGATGCAAAAATGGGCCAGAAAATGCCCTTTGTGACATCGGATAAAGTTCTGGCAGTATAACGTTGAGAGAAGACAGCCTTACCTCTTAGTAGAGTTGGATGGACCCAATACGCAGTCACGTTTTTGCAGAGGTCGAATATCTTGGAATCTTTCAGAAAATCTTTATTTTCAATGGGTTTCTCTCCTGGAATCCAGAGCACCGATTGCTCAAAATAGGTAACGGCTATTTCCTCTGCCTGCAAGACAGGATATATTCTCAACGCCATAAGTATTATGCTGGTGCAGCACTTCAATCCAGATCTTTCCTTTCCAGGTTATTATTATATATTTTTTTCTGGGGTACCATTCTTTTTTCCCTGGACTAAATATTCTGATTTAGGCGTTCCCAAACCAGGAAGCAGACTCCTTGTCCCGACAAAAATCTCTTTTTATTAAGTTACTGTGAATTTCTCTCATTGTTGTGACCCAGGCCCAAGTAAGTAGTAGTTGACGCGAACAGTTCCAAAACAAACAGACTTTATTAGAACAGCTGAGAATTAACTCATTCTCAGTTTAGTTCAAACTAAATCAAAACAAACTCTTCATAACACAAATTCTTCAGTCTAATCACCAACCTTGGTATAATTAGGCAAACTGCCAAAGGCTTCTCTTGGTAAAAGTTCAGAAGCAGAAGACACCGACCAGAGATAAGTGCAGCAAGACAAGAACAAGTCTATCAACGTTGTTTTCCAACAAAGAGCCCAAGAGCCATTGCTGGTCTTTTAAGCCTTATGGGAGGGGCCAATCATCTCTTGGCCCTATTCCCGAGTCATCCTCTTTGCTTTAGCTGCTCTTGCCTTCTGGCAGCTCTTCTCATACGTGCAGTAGGAACAGGCTCCTCCTGTTCCTCTGCCTCTCTCTATCAGGAGGCTACGGAGTCCGCACATCACTCCTCGATGGCCCTGGCTCCGGCCCCATCTCTGCCTCTGACACAGAGCCCTCATCCGGGCCTTCCCCAGCCTCCAGGACTGGCCCATCTTCTTCCTCAGCCTCCTCACTGTCTGACTCTACTGCCAGCTCCGCAGGCTGCTGGTGGACCATGACACTCATTCACATTTAGCAAAGTCTTTCAAGGGTAGATTTACAGTCACAGACCTTATTTGGCTTGGAGAGCTGCCAGGTTGATATCTTCAAAATTTGGCAAGGAGTCTCAGAGAGTCACAACCAATTAAGCAAACTAATTGTCTCCTGCAAACACCCCTCCCCTTTCGCTCCTCTTTTATTCTCTCTGGGAGGGGCCATTCACCGTCCACCTGTGGCCTTACTCCCAAGTCGACCCTTGTTCTTTAGCTGTTCCCTTCGTCTGGCAACTCTGCGGATGCACACACTGGGAACAGGCTCCAGCTGTTCGTCTGCCTCACTGATGTCTGACTCCAAAAGCAGCTGATAACTGTCATACAGCCCTGGCCCAATCTCTGCCTCCAATGCAGAGTGCTCGTCAGAGCCTTCCCTGGACTCCAGGACTCACCCATGTTCCTCCCCAACCTCCTCACTGTCCAAATCTACTACCAGCTCCACTGTCGCTGTTGGGCCACAACACTAAAAATGGAAGTATGCCACACTCACAAAAGACGAAGGCGTGCTTTCTTGATCCATTAGCCGCCAAACAGAAAAATAAAATGAAACAAGAACGGCCCAGCAATTCCTGCCAGGAGAATGGAAGATGATCTAATGAAGTGTCTCGGAGCCAGCCAGAGTCTTGTGGGGATATAAAAATATTCTTTTTTGCCCCCACCGACCCCTCAATTTGCTAGTCTGCCGTGTAATGCGAGAAACATGAAAAAACAGTTTGAACTGAAGCCCTTGCAGATTCGACACACCAGTTTAAGTGTGAAATAGGATGTTTGGATCACCGTGGAAGCAGGGTTTTTTTTGAGATTGGAAGAGAGAGTTTTCCACCTCAAAAAACGCTTCTGAAATGATTTGAAGCAGCCCCTTTCACTTTCGGAAGGGCTGTTTTGCTCTCATAATTTGGCACTTTGAACTCAGAATGGGGATTGAACTCTTTTTAAAAAGAGCGAGATCCTGAAAATATTTGCACACTTTTGAAAGTATAGAGAGGTTGCATTTAACTAGCGTGGGTACTTATTGGTAGGTAGAAACGGTAGGAAAAACATTTTAGTGCATTTTCCCCTTTCCTAAAAGTTCTGTGTTTTATTTGCAGTGTGACACTATTACAGCTAGGACTGAGTTTACTTTTTTGGAATGAAAAAAATAATAAGAGAGAATTCCCAGACTTGTTATCTTTGAGGCATCTTGTGTGTCTCGGAGTATTTGTCCTGGGAAGAAATTAAACTCCCAGCATGTTGTCCATGCTAAGAACCAGACTTGGGAGAGGCTCGGAAAGGAATGGAAGGGAGAATAGATATGAAACTACCGTGTTTCCCTGAAAATAAGACCCTGTCTTATATTTTTTTGAACCCCGAAATAAACACTTGGCCTTATTTTTGGGGAGGTCTTCTTATTTTGGGGCACATGGAGCAAGATGAGGCTCCTCTTGCTGTCTTACCTGATTTCCAGCTCTGTCTCCCTAACCCCAACCAGAGGAAATGGATTAGAAGATCTTCAAAGACTATTCCAACCCTATTATTCTATTCTATTCTATTCTATTCTATTCTATTCTATTCTATTCTATTCTATTCTATTCTATTCTATTCTATTCTATTCCATTCCATTCCATTCCATTCCATTCCATTCCATTCTTCTGTTCTATTCTATTCTATTCTATTCTATTCTATTCTATTCTATTCTATTCTATTCTATTCTATTATTGGGAAAGATTGGGATTCTTGAAAAAAACTGAAAGGCTGTAAGTCCAATTAAAGGGACACATACAAACACACACATTGAAAACCGATAAATGTCATATGGATGATATTTCACTTATTCTTTCCTGGCTACCCTCATCTCAGTTGGGTTGCGTTGGGCCTTACGGTTGATTCCATCTTCCTTGTTTTAGGGAAGACTCCGTTTAGCATATGTTGAATCTCAGCCTCTCTCTGGCCTGTGAGTGATTTAAAAACCAACGGGGATTACTCTCCTCTCTCTTTTCCAAGCTGCTATAAATCCGCTCGCCCAGCCAGAGAGTCTTTATTTAATTCAGCACATTCTTTCCTTCTGCATACCTCCGGCGCCTCCGTCTCCATCTGCGATGCTTCTGGTATCCCTTTAATCTGATTTTGGAGAAAGCATTTGGGATCGCCCATGAAAAAGAGACCCGTTATTCCCTGCGAGGAAAGCAAAAATATAGCCAGGTAAAAATGGCAAAGAGGAAACAAGCGCAACAGAGGTATATCTCTGCTAAGCCCACGGTTAGTCTAATTCAGGATATATATCCATTTTCGGTTGCAGCAAAAGTGGGGCACGGCGGCGTAAACCTTTCCGGCAGTCTATAAATACTTCTCTACGCCTCTGATTTGCTGTCTGAACGTAAAATAAATTAAAAAAGCACCTCCGATTTAGAAGGTTCACCGTGGGGGCTTTGCTTGAATGCTTTGTGTTATAATGAACATTTTCCCCTTCCTGCTGACTTCCTTTTTTTTTAAAAAAAAACAAACTAGCATTGCCTGTTAGCTAAGAGACTCCGCTATGAATCAAGAAATTTCAGGTTTGACTCGGTCCCGCTGATTCCACCGACTGAAGCAAGCCGTAATGTAGCTTATTGGCTTAGCGCGCAACACAAACCCGGCCAATTTGCTAAATTTATTCTGTGCAGGAAATCGACACCTTGCATTTTGGCCTTTAAAACAAACGGGGATTATTCAGGCAGACCCGTAGCCAAGATGTGAAGCAGGCTGACCTAACACTATCCCGGAAATGGATACACATACATTCTTAAAATCGTGTATTTCAAGGACTTCCTCACGACCCTTCCCAGTATGAAAGGTCTCCGTCCAGGCGAGGGGATCGATCTTCAGTAATATCTTCTGTTTTTCCATGTTGCTGACGAACATGTGCTCCAGTTCATAAATCTGAAAAACAGATTGGGGAAGAGTATGAATCCATTGCAGTGGTTGATCCAACAGCACGCTAAACCTTGGCATGGTTTGGTTAGGGCAGGAGTCAGCAAAATGGCTGAGGTAGACTTGAACTTTTTCAAGTTCTCTAGACTAAAATCTTAAGCACTAAAAATGGAAACAGCGCCTTTTCTGATGTGAATACAAGACTTTCTAGTTCAGGGGTCAGCAACCTGCAGCTCTGGAGCCGCATGTGGCTCTTTCACTCCTCTGCTGCGGCTCCCTGTCACTCAAAATATGAGTCACAACCGCCAATGTGCGACACCCGTCAGCACACAATTTATTGAGCTTTTCAACCCCCTGGTAGGCCAACCATGGATAAATCCAAGAAAAGAAAAATTTCAGAAGAAAACAGAACGTTTAATTCAACTACATATGCTGGTTTTGTGGCCGCTCAAGGAATAGTCAGGCACAGGAAGGGTTTTGTGGCTCCCGGTGTTTTCTTTTCTGTGGGAAATGGATCCAAATGGCTCTTTGAGTGTTTAAGGTTGCAGACCCCTGGGTTAGATCAATGTTGGTGAACCTTTTTGACACCGAGTGCTGAAACAGAAGCTTGCGCAGGGGAGCACCAGAAACCGGAATGCATGTGCACGCCGGGAACCTGAGCTTCTGGTTTCCGGTGTGTGCATGCGTGCCAATCACCTGGTCTTTTGGTTTCTGGTGCACATGTGCGCGTAAAAACCAGCTGGCATGTGCACCGGAAACCGGAAGCTCAGCTTCCCGGTGCGCGCATGCACGCCAGGGAACTGCTCTTTTCGGCACTTCCCCGCGTGTGAAGACCAGCCCACAGTGTCAGGTTCTGGAATTCTGCGGAATTCTCCCTCCCTCCCTCCCTCCCTCCCTCTCTCTCTCTTTATTTTAGTGTAGTGTGCTTTTCGTTGCCAACTCAGAGCCAGTTTGAACCGAGCAGGCTACAAAGAAGGAAGAAAATTTTCTTGTTGTTCTTACTTGTGAAGTCATGTCCGACCCATCACGATCCCATAGACAACGTTCCTCCAGGCCTTCCTGTCCTCTACCATCCTCTGGAGTCCATTTAAGCTCATGTCGACTGCTTCAGTGACTCCATCCAGCCACCTCGTTCTCTGCTGTCCCCTTCTTCTTTTGGCCTCCATCTTTCCCAGCATTAGGCTTTTCTCCAGCGAGTTCTTCCTTATTAGGTGGCCAAAGTATTTGAGTTTCACCTTCAGGATCTGGCCTTCTAAAGAGCAATCAGGGTTGATCTCCTCTAGGGTTGACCGGTTTGATCGCCTTGCAGTCCAAGGGACTCGCAGGAGTCTTCTCCAGCACCAGAATTCAAAGGCCTCAATTCTTTGGCGCTCAGCCTTCCTTATGGCCCAACTTTCACAGCCATCCATTGCAACTGAGAAAACCGTAGCCTTGACTATACACACTTTTGTTGGCAGGGTGATGTCTCTAGTTTTTAGTACGCTGTCTAGATTTGCCATAGCTTTCCTCCCCAGGAGCAAGTGTCTCTTAATTTCTTGGCTCTAGTCCCCATCTGCGGTGATCTTGGAGCCCAGGTAGAATATTTCTATCCATGAAAATATTCTACGCTAGATTCAAACTGGCATCCTTTTTATCTGAATTGCAGCTTTTTCTTCCAGTCAGACTATTAGTGAATTCTTGAAACTTCACACACCAATAGGTTTCACAGCATGGAAAATTGAAGGTAGATTCTTGGGGGGGGGGGGGGGGGGGGGGGGGTGTGTGGCGCAGTTAGGTTTGCCTCATGAGATAATCCCTGAGGACAGATTTGTGTTGTAGGCCAGACCTCGTGGCATCCGAAGACACAACTGGAAAAAAGATCTTGAAATTCCTCTCTGTTCCTCTCAGGAACTTTTTTTGGGTGGTGGTGGTGATGTTTATGGCTGACTCGATTTCATTCTTCTTCTTTTTTTTAAAAAAAGAGTTTGGGTCCTGCTAACGCAGAATTGTGGCCAAGCTCCGAGAGAGAATATATAAGCTGCGAGAAGAACGGTTTTGTACAAACCCTATTTGATTCCGAGGCAATAAAGTTGAAATATTCATGGCGTTGTTTCGCTGTTATCCTGAGGCAGCAGGGACTTTCTTTATGGCCTCATCACACGGCTCCAATCCCTAGGGACCTCTAAAAATATCTCCCCCACTCCCCAAATTGCAATGTTTAATGCATCAGAAAAGGAAGATGATGAAAGGCAGAGGGAGTTGTCATATTAATGAGATTTAATTAGCTCAAGTCAATGCTAATTAATTGGAAATTAAAATGAAAACGGATTTATTATCCTGGGTACAATGTTGTTCCTGGCTCTGCTCGAATGTCTGAAGACCGTAACATGTCATTCAGAGGACAGGCTGTTCTTGGCGTGACAAAAATTGAGCACATGTCTGCTGTAGACTCTTCCGATCAATCGGAAGGGACCTTGGAGGTCTTCTAGTCCAGCCCCCTGCTCAAGCAGGAGATACCTATACCATTTCTTAGTCTTTTCTTAAAAAACCTCCAGTGATGAAGCACCAACAACTTCTGGTGTCAAGCTGTTCCACGGGTTAATTGTCCTCCGGAAGTTTCTCCTTGATTCCAGGTTGTTTCTCTCCTTGATTAGTTTCCATCCATCGTTTCTTGCCTTGCCTTTTGGTTTCTTTGGAAAATAAGTTGAGCCCAGTGGTGAAATCCAACTTTTTTTTTTTTACTACCGGTTCTGTGGGCGTGGTGTGGTGTGGCTTGGTGGGCGTGGCAGGGGAAGGATACTGCAAAATCTCCATTCCCACCCCATTCCAGGGAAAGGATACTGCAAAATCCCCATTCCCACCCCACTCTGGGACCAGCCAGAGGTGGCATTTGCCGGTTCTCCGAACGACTCAAAATTTCTGCTACCGGTTTTCCAGAACTTGTCAGTTTCTGCCAACCTAACAGTTCGAAAGCACGTAAAAAAGGCAAGTAGAAAAATAGGGACCACCTTTGGTGGGAAGCTAACAGCGTTCTGTGCGCCTTTGGCGTTTAGTCATGCCAGCCACATGATCACGGAGACGTCTTCAGACAGCGCTGGCTCTTCGGCTTTGAAACGGAGATGAGCACCGCCTCCCTAGAGTTGGGAACGACTAGCACATATGTGCGAGGGGAACCTTTACTTTTACTGGGAGTTGGCTGTAACTATCTGGGAAGGCATCTCTACTGCTTCTCCAAGGGTTTCTTCTGAAAGGTTGGGCTTTGTTGAACCAAAGAATCCTTCTCATTCGAGACCACTGACTTCCCCTTCTCTTTACACTTTTTTCAGTGCGGCTTTAACTTTGAATGGTCAGGAACTAACTGTTGTAAGTTGAGGACTACTTGCATTGTGCAAACCCAAGACAATTTAGTTCAGTCAATGAACTGTGATTGAGAAAATAATAGAGCTGGCAACACCAAAGCCTCAAAATGGCCTCGGCCAGGTCAGCTTCAGGGTTGACAGGGAAACGCTTTATGAGGTAAAGAAAATCCTGGATCTAGATTGCATAGGGGCCGATTGCAGTACCTAGTGCAGGAGTCAGCAACCCGCGGCTCTGGAGCCACATGTGGCTCTTTCATCCCTCTATTGAGGCTCCCTGTTGCTGGTCGGCTCCACAATTGATAGGGCTTTCAGTTAGGACAGATAGAGGAAGAATGATGCCATGCTAGGAGGATACTCTATGGCGGGGGAACCGGACTTCAGGTCAGCAGAGGAAAAAGGACACTGTGCTAGGTAGAGACTATGATGGGGGAACCGGACTTCTGGTCGACTCCATAATTGAATGGAGGCTTCCGGTTAGGACCTTTGTGGCTCTTTGAGTGTTTAAGGTTGCCTATCCCTGACCTAGTGCAATGGAAGGGGTACCCACTCTCCGAGGCAACCTGGGTCAAGAGCTGGGATGTGAAGGCAGAGAGGTTGGTTAAACAGTTCCATGACAAATCCCCAGAAACCTAAGGGGCCTCCAGGGGCTGGAAGAGGAGGTTAGAGTGAACCTTGAGTAACCTCTCTACCATTTCTTTTCCTCGCAGGAATTTCTTTTTAATTAATTAAGGGGGGGCCAACTGTCAAACCTGAAGCTGACCTGACCGAGGCCATTTTGAAGTGTCAGTGTCCAGTGTTGCTGGAGCTGAGGGATAGGGGGAGAGGGGGAATAGAGATAGCTGGCATTTTGTAGCCAAAACAAAATATATTCTCCTGGGAACCAAGGACATTTCCACAGGTGGTCGGAGAGAGGAGGAGTGAAGTTACCAGGCAACTGGACGATACCTTGATTGGACCATGTGACTGATTCTTTGGGGAAGGGGAAAAAACGTTTACTTTTAATTAGGTGAAAACTGTGGGGACATTCAGAGTTGGTTTTTACCAGCCTGTCAATATGATTTAAAACTATTCTTTGAGGAACCTACCTACCTCGGAGTTCTGTTTGCTATGGGTGTATTACTTGGAACCCTGACAAGAGCATTTTGTTGTGACTTGTGAGCCAAGTCTGTATTTCGGAGCGATGGGAATCAGTCCTTCCATGTGCAAATCAGTGATGCTTATCATCTTACAGATGTCACAGGGCAATTAAAATAAATGGAAAAAGCCCGAAGGAAAGGCAGATAAACTGGCTTAATGATGGATATCTTCCTCCTGCACTTAGCTTCAGTGTGTTGGGCTAAGTCCACCATTCTCCAGAATGAAAGTACGAAAGTTCCTCTCCTCCTCTCCGTATTTACTTTTTGGGACAAGGATGAAAGTGATTTTTTTCCCCTTTCAAATTGCTTGGCTGTCTTTTCTTTGTTGTTTGCTAAAACGACATTTGAAACCAGACTTTCATCCAATTTGTTTTTTCTGGAAGGTGTTACAGATGTCTGGGCAAACAGTAGCTTCCTGATGCTGACTGTTTACGCCACTGGGATGATTTGAAGCAGGGGACAGGAGCTGGCCTGCTAAATGTTGCCCCACAGCTTCCATTCTCCTGGACAGCTGGCTGCTGATTGGAGTTAGTGTCAGGGGTGAAATGCTACTGGTTCGCTCCGGTTTGAGCGAACTGGTAGTGATAAAACCTACCGGTTCCTCTGAATCAATATTTTCGACGATCAGCTCTGCCGCATGGTTTAGCTTTGCTAGAAAGCAGGAAATCCTGCTCTCTAGCGAAGCTAAGTCATGCGGCACAGCTGATCCCCCTCTCGCTGTTCTACTTACCTTCCCAAGCCTCCTTTTGGCTCGTACTGTGCATGTGTGTGTATGCACTGCACACATGCGCACGCAGCATGCATTTGGCATGCACCACGCATGCGCGGCCAGCGAATCGGTATCAAACCGGTTCAGATTTCACGACTGGTTAGTGTTCGACAATATCTGGAGAGCCAAGAGTCTCCCATCTTTGATTGAAAGCAGCGTCCGCATTTGCAACGATACGCTTTGCTCAACCGTGCATTTCTGAACTAACCCAATTTCCTGGATTTGTATGGAATGTTGAACTCTTTTGTGAAAGAAGGCAACATGGGGAAAGTTGGAATGAGGTATGTTGTGTACAGTATGAATTAATGATTCTGGAAAGAAGAAAACACGGGAGTTTGGGACAGGCAGTTACAAGAGTTATTTGAGATTTATATATGTCAGCCTTCTAGATCTGGAGAAGGGGACGATGGTCCAGGCAGGACAATAAACCCAGTATAGTGGTACCTTGGTACTCAACTGCTTCAAAACTGGTCAAATTTGGTACTCAATGCTGAGTCAACCTTGAGCCGGTCAGGATCTAACTCCTGACAATAGGCAAAGTTAGCCTGCAATCCTGCATTCTAACCACTGTGCCACCAGGGCTCCTAATAGCAATAGCACTTCAACTTATATACCGCTCCATAGTGCTTTACAGCCCTCTCTAAGCAGTTTACAGAGTCATCTTATTGCCCCCAACAATCTGGGTCCTCATTTTACCGACCTCGGAAGGACGGAACACTGAGTCAACCTTGAGCCTGGTGAGATTCGAATTGGCAAACTTCAGGCAGCCGGCAGCCAGCAGAAGTAGCCTGCAGTATGCATTCTAACCACTGTGCCACCGTGGCTCATAACTGATAATGTACTGATTACAGACTAAAAGAGGAACGGGCCATTGATTAAAGGTAAAGGTTCCCCTCACACATATGTGCTAGTCGTTCCCGACTCTAGGGGGCATTGCTCATCTCTGTTTCAAAGCCGAAGAGCCAGCACTGTCCGAAGATGTATCCATGGTCATGTGGCCGACATGACTAAACGCCAAAGGCGCACGGAACGCTGTTACCTTCCCACCAAAGGTGGTCCCTATTTTTCTACTTGCATTTTTTATGTGCTTTCGGACTGCTAGGTTGACAGAAGCTGGGACAAGTCATGGGAGCTCACCCCGTTTTGCGGCATTAGGGATTCGAACTGCTGAATTGCTGACCTTTTGATTGACAAGCCTAGTGTCTTAGTCACTGAGCCACCACGTCCCTCTTGGGCCATTGATTATACACATGTAAATTTGTCTATATCCTAAGATCTTTTTTTTCTTTTCTTTTTCTTTTTTAATTAGCTGGCACCCACATGGGTACATCAAGTTACCAACGCAGTCTGTCCTCTCCAGTAATATCCCTGGGGTTACAGGCGTCTGGAATGCAAATGGTTTTTGCAGTCCTGCCTCCTGAACAGCAGGCAGCTTATTGGAAACAGATGCTGGCCTTGGATAGGGAAGGCAGGACAGCATAACCCGCCAGCCAGCTTTTGGCTGATGGAGATTTCTCGGCTGCCTTTATAGATAGTAGCAGAACTGACTTTGAAGGGATTCCCAAAGAACTTCCTCTCCCAAATCTATTAAACTGTCCGTGCCTTTTTTTTTTTATCAAGCACTGCGTCACTTCAGAAATAATCTGCAGGATTATATAATACTTTGGGTGTACGTTGGAAAAGCCTTCTGTGGAAAAATGGCTAATTAAGTTATGGGACTGCATAAAAAAGAGCCTCGTATTTGAAAATGAAATCTGATGCAGAATTGAGGTCGATCTGGAAAGCATTCCTAGTTAATGATTTGATCCACAGATTTTGTACTCCAGCCTAAATTTGGGGGTTTCTACATTTAGAATTTGGTAAATAGTATTTCATTGTTCAATTTTCCTCTCAGAGAATAACTGACTTCCATTTACCCAGAAAGTTTCTGGGGCTGAGGGTGGATTAGAACGCAAGTCTTTCTAGGCCAACCCAGTTCCTTAACCATCATATTCCCCACAATGCTGGGTTGTTGGTTTTTGTTTTTGTTTTGTATAAAATTTTATTTTCTTTTAATACAAACATTTCGTCATTCATTCAACAGTGTGTCGTCTGGGTACAAATTTTTTGTGTCATAACAGTTAAAGCTTACCACCATATTCATTATTTATATCTACTCTTATTTTAATACTAAAACTTAACACTTAACATATCTATTATTGTAACATTTCTCTTCTTAACTTATCTAACTTTATTATACCTTGCTTTCATATTTATTCTCTAACCATTGATAAAATAAATCCCATATATTGTAGTAATCAGATTCTTCCTTTCCTATAATTGCAAGTGTTAATCTATTCATTTCTGCACATTCTAATATTTTCTTAATCACATTTTCATCTGTAGGGATCTCTTCACCCAATGCTGGGTTGAGGTGACAAACAAAGTGGATATAGATGTATATTTGGGGGTGGTATTAACAGAAAGTAATTCTCATAACTATTCCATAAAACGTCTGAATCAAATACGGCAAGTTTTCAGCTGCAAACTCATGAAAGTCCAATTTAAATTGGCTAGAGATGAATCACTTTCCCAAAACAAGCAACTTCTTTAACGCGTGGTGGAGTGGATTTCTCCTCCAGTTCCTGAAGAGTTAATTGAAACAAAATGGCAAGGAACTTCTCACAATTAAGTGTGCTAGGAAAAAGAAATCACTGCCTTTTCCACAGCTAAGATCCCACTGCCATAAAACTTCGACAAGTTTCTCGGTGTCTTTTTCAAGTGTGGGATAGAAATATCCACTCCCCCACCTCCCTTTAAAATATCTCCTCCATATAATCCTGAGAATAGGACTTACCTTTTGGGGAGCAGGTTTCCAAAAATAGGAGACACCCAGGATGGTCAAAGTGAGGGAGAGGAGCAAAATCAAAGTTAACACAGCCCAAATCTGGGCTCTTTTGTAGAGCCCCTTCTTGGCAGTGTGAGCCTGAAAGGAGAAGAGAGATCTTCAGGAAAGACCAGATTCGGACAGGTCACACAATAGAATTTTAGAATCATAGGGCTGGGAGGGACCTTGGAGGTCTTCTAGTCCACCCCCCTTACTCAAGCAGGAGACCCTATACCACCGCAGACAAATGGCTGTCCAGTCCTAGGCTGCATTAACAGAAAGATAGAATTAAGATCACGTGAAGTGTTAATACCACTTTATAATGCCTTGGTAAGACCATACTTGGAATACAGCATTCAGTTTTGGTCGCCACGATGTAAAAAAGACATAGAGACTCTGGAAAGAGTGCAGAGAAGAGCAACCAAGATGATTAGGGGACTGGAGGCTAAAACATATGAAGAACGGTTGATAGAACTGGATATGTCTAGACTGATGAAAAGAGGGACTAAGGGTGACATGATAGCAGTGTTCCAATATCTCAGGGGCTGCCACAAAGAAGAGGGAGTCAAGCTATTCTCCAAAGCACCTGAGAGCAGGACAAGAAGCAATGGGTGGAAACTCATCAAGTAGAGAAGCAACTTGGAACTAAGGAGAAATTTCCTGACAGAACAATTAATCAGTGGAATTAATTTGATTTATATGCCGCCCTTCTCCGGAGACTCAGGGCGGCTTACAATGTGCTCAGGCAAGCAAAACTTGCCTCCAGAAGCAAAACTTGCCTCCAGAAGTTGTGAATGCTCCAACACCGGAAGTTTTTAAGAAGAAATTGGACAACCATTTGTCTGAAATGGTATAGGGTTTCCTGCCTGAGCAGGGGGTTGGACTAGAAGACCTCCAAGGTTCCCTGCCAACTCTGTTATTCCGTATTCTCTTCTTGAAAACCTCCAGTGACGGAATACCCAAAACCTCTGGGGGCAAGCTGTCTCACTGATGAATTGTTCTCTCTGCCGGCAAATGTCTCCTTAGTTATGGAGCACCTGCTTACAGAAAGACCAAAGAATCACACTTTGGAGGCGCACGCATGCACAAGTCTTGCCTTCCCACACCCCAAAGAAGAGTCAAGTAACGGACTTACGTCATGCTTGCGGAATTCCTGGGACCCCTCCGGGAGCTGTTTCCCCATGCTGCTTCCCCCTTTGAGTGTCAAATCTTTCTTTTTGGTCACAGAGAGTGGGACGGGTGAGACGCTGGGACCGGGGTGGAGTCAGGATGCCTTCGAATCCTCCTCGAGCAGAGTGGAGGGCTTCCTTTTTTCTTTTTCTTTTTTTGTCTCTCTCTCTCCAGGCGGCTGGGCTAAATGTGTGGCTGTTGCCACAGCCAAGTCCGCAAACGTGCAGGAGAGGATACATTTCAGAAGGGGACAAGGGTGCTCTGTTTCTCATCCGAACTCATCCTCCTTGCATGCCCGACCTTCCTGGAAAGAGATTTGCCATTTTTATTTCAAATGCTAATTCCTTCTGGGTTTTCCACCCCCTTCTGAGCTGTTATTTTGCTAAGTGTCTTTCTAGTCTGGCTGGATTCTTGATGGCGAATAGAATAGAATAGAATAGAATAGAATAGAATAGAATAGAATAGAATAGAATAGAATAGAATAAGAGACTGGAATAAATAGAGAATAGAATAGAGTAGAGTAGAGTAGAGTAGAGTAGAGTAGAGTAGAGTAGAATTGAATAGAATAGAATAGAATAGAATAGAATAGAATAGAATAGAATAGAGAATAGAATAGAATAGAATAGAATGGAGACTGGAATAAATAGAGAATAGAATAGAATAGAATAGAATAGAATAGAATAGAATGGAGACTGGAATAAATAGAGAATAGAATAGAATAGAATAGAATAGAATAGAATAGAATAGAATAGAATAGAAAGAGAATAGAATAGAATAGAATAGAATGGAGACTGGAATAAATAGAGAATAGAATAGAAAGAATAAATAGAATAGAATAGAATAGAATAGAATAGAATAGAATAGAATAGAATGGAGACTGGAATAAATAGAGAATAGAATAGAATAGAATAGAATAGAATAGAATAGAATAGAATAGAATGGAGACTGGAATAAATAGAGAATAGAATAGAATAGAATAGAATAGAATAGAATAGAATAGAATAGAATAGAATAGAATAGAATAGAATAGAATAGAATAGCATTCTTTAATGGCCAAGTGTGATTGGAAAAAAATTGAGGGAAATGCAGAGGGAAGGTAAGTAGATTTCACCCTGGCACCAAATATCTGCTGAGGGCAGGGAGCTGAGGCTGAGTTTCTGTCTCCCTTAAGATTTCTATTTCTCTTTTAGGGGAAATATAATATTCTGCCTTTTTAAATATTTCTCAGAATATTTCATTCTTCTAGGAGGGGTGGCTTCCCTCAATCCTATCTATCCATCTTATCCATCTTTCCAATATATAAGCTATTTTTCAAGGCACCCGAAGGCCAGACAAGGAATAATGGATGGAAACTGAACAAGGAGAGATTCAACCTGGAAATAAGGAGAAATTTTCTGACAGTGAGAAAATCAACCGATGGAAGAGAAGTTGCCTTCAGAAGTTGTGAGAGCTTCATCACCGGAAGCTTTCAAGAAGAGACTGGACTGCTATCAGTCAGAAATGGTGTAGGGTCTCAGTGAGGAAGCCAGATTACAGGTAATCCTCGATTTACGACCACAATTCAGTCCAAAATTTTATGTGGCTAAGCGAGGCAGTTGTTCAATGAATTTTGCCTCATTTTATGACCTTTCTTCCCACAGTTGTTAAGTGAATCACTGCAGCTGTTAAGTTAGTCAAACGGTTGCTAAGTGAATCTGGCTTCCCCATTGACTTTGCTCCTCAGAAAGGTCGCAAAAGGGGATCACGTGACCCCAGGGCCTCTGCAACCATCATAAATATGAATCAGTTGCCGAGCATCTAAATTTGGATGATGTGACCATGGGGATACCTGCCACGGTCGTAAGTGTGAAAAAAGGTCGTAACTTACTTTTTTTCTGTGCCGTTGTACATTTTGAACGGTCACTAAATGAACTGTTGTAAGTTGGGGAATGACCTGTACTAGTTTTAACGGCTGCAATGATTCACTTGGCAAGAAAGGTCGTAAAATGGAGCAAAATTCACAACGGTCTCATTTAGCAACCGAAACTTGGGGGCCCAATTGTGGTCATAAGTCGAGGACTACTTGTGCAAGCTTTGAAGAGATCTTAACCCTAAGTGTTTGTTTTATGGAATGAAAATTTTTTTTAAATTATCTTCAGAGTACACAAGAAAAAGGCTTATTAGTTATACTGACTGACAACTTGCCTAGTGGTTAGATCCGTGATGGCGAACCTATGGTACGCGTGCCACAGGTGGCACGCGGAGCCATATCAGTGGGCACACGAGCTCAGCTTCCAGGGCGCATGCGTGCGCCGGCCAACTGATTTTCGGGCCTTCCGGTCCCACCTGAAGTCAGCAAATGGGCCGTTTCTGGCCTCCGGAGGGCCTCCGGGGTGGTGGGGAAGGCTGTTTTTGCCCTCCCCAGGCTCCTAGAAAGCCTCTGAAGCCTGGGGAGGGCAAAAAACAGGCCTACTGGGCCCACTGGGCCATCACGGGCCAAAAACGGGGGGAGCACGAGGGTGTCACGCATGCATACACGGGGTTGGGGCGCATAGGATTATGGATGTGGGCACATGCATGCACAACTCCCCCGTGCTTCCCCCGCTTTTGGCACATGATGGCAAAAATGTTAGCTATCACTGGGTTAGATCATTTATCCAACTGGTTATTTCTTCTGTGCCGGAATCAAGATAGAACCAAGTTTATTGATGTGTTGATGGTGCTCTCTTGTGATCGGCGGCGGAACAGCAAGTAAGAAATTTCTAGATAACCTTTCCAACTTCCGCAGAGGTGAACCGGTATACGATTTCACCGTAATTCTTGAGAGGGTTTCAGGATAAGATTTGCTAATCTGCTGGTTGGCAGCCCTATAATCTTCAGTAGAAGCGAGAGGATTATGCTGTGTGGGATTTCTAAGAGGGCTTCAGAAAGTCCGTCTTAACGCGGTGTTCTCCAGATGTGTGGGACTTCTCAAAAATCTCCTGCCAACATAGCCTTGGGCTACCGATGGAAAAAAAAAAAAACAGTGAGTTTAATTGCTTTGCACAAGCCATAGTCGGCTTTTCAGAAAAAGAAAAAAAAAAACAGTTTGCAAGAACTATTTGCGGGCGGTTGAAAAAAAGGGATATCATTGCTACCCTCTGCAACTCCAAATTTAAAACCTAGGTAAAACTGGGAGAATGCTACGAATATCTAGATTCAGGTTAAAGAGGTTTTAACCTGAATCTAGATATTCACCGAGTGGGACGCGGTAGCTCAGTGGCTAAGACGCTAAGCTTGTCGATCGAAAGGTTGGCAGTTCAGCGGTTTGAATCCCTAATGTGAGTGAATTCCCATTACTTGCCCCAGTTTCTGCCAACCTAGCAGTTTGAAAGCACGTAAAAAATGCCAGTAGAAAAATAGGGACCACCTTTGGTGGGAAGGTAACAGCGTTCCGTGCGCCTTCGGCGTTGAGTCATGCTGGCCACATGACCACGGAGACGTCTTCGGACAGCGCTGGCTCTTTGGCTTTGAAATGAAGATGAGCACCGCCCCCTAGAGTCGGGAACGACTAGCATGTATATGCGAGGGGAACCTTTACCTTTACTAGATATTCACCAGGCTTGAAAATCTGGGCTGTCCGAAGATGTCTCTTGGTCATGTGGCCGGCATAACTAAATGCCAAAGGCACATGGAATGCTGTTATCTTCCCATCAAAGGTGGTTCCTATTTTTCTACTTGCATTTTTTATGTGCTTTTAACACATTAAGTTTTAATGTATATGTCCTGCATTTATTTCAGTGGGTATTTTTAAAATCAATTGGTATAACCTAAATTGTCAAGTGGATGCTGTTATCGAACAGCAGTTCAGACTTCCCAGGAAGTATTTACCTCAAAACTTTCCTAAAATTATTATTATTATTTTTTTTTATTACAAAAGTTTTACAATTACATTTTCACCCCTTTTTTTCACCTTCCCCACCTCCCTCCCCAAACTTCCCGTCCTCCCTAACCCTCCCTAACCCTCCCCCCCCAGACTTCCCTATTATGTACTCATAACTAATAACACTGATATATAAACCTGAACCCATCCCTCCCCCTATATAATTTTTCCTCTTTGTCTCTTTACATTAAGATATTTCTAATACATTATTTTCAAATAAAAGCTATTTGATACTTTCTAGTTTGGTATTTGTTCTGAACATATTCTATCCACCTTTTCCATTCCCATTCATAAGTCTCTTGTGAACAATCTTTTAAATATGCTGAGATCTTCGCCATCTCTGCAAAACTTGCCATCTTCAAAGTCCATTCCTCGATAGTGGGCAAAGCTTCATTCTTCCAATATTTACCTATCAACAATCTTGCTGCTGTTATCATATACAATATTAGTTTTATTTCACCCCGTGTAAAACCCTTAACTATACCCAATAAAAACAATTGTGGAGAAAATTGAATTTTTTTCTTCAAAACATTCTGCATGACCCACCATATTTTTATCCAAAAAGCCTTAACTTTCCTACAGGTCCACCAAACATGATAATACGTAGCATCCAAACATTCACATCTCCAACATTTTGGCTGAACATTAGGGTACATACATGACAACTTTTTAGGATCTAAATGCCATCTATAAAACATTTTATAAAAATTTTCCCTCAGATTCTGCGACTGTGTAAATTTAACATTCTGAACCCAAAGCCGAAGAGCCAGCGCTGTCCGAAGACGTCTCCGTGGTCATGTGGCCGGCATGACTAAACGCCAAAGGTGCACGGAATGCTGTTACCTTGCCACCAAATATGGTCCCTATTTTTCTACTTGCATTTTTTACGTGCTTTTGAACTGCTAGGTTGGCAGAAGCTGGGACAAGTAACCGGAGCTCACACTGTTATGCGGCACTAGGGATTCGAACCGCTGAACTGCCGACCTTTCGATCGACAAGCTCAGCGTCTTAGGCACTGAGTCACCGCATCCCTAATCTATACTATAAAGCCCCCTTAAATTGGGAATACTCAGAGATTGGTGAGGATCTCGGGGAGGTCCCAGGCCCCTCATTTCTAAAGAGTGCATTGGCCGCTAAGAGAAAAATCTCCCCAAGGCTGTGAGAAGTCAAACCCAGACTTTACAATGACTTGTAAACCGTGCATTTTCTCTTGGCTGCTTGTCGGCAAA